GAGAAATGGTCACACAGGTTTACCTGTGTAGGCTCTCGCCTAGTGCCGATTCAGACGGGTAAGGCGGCCTAAGTTAGTTTTAGGTCGCAGGGCGAGAAATGGCATCCCACTGTGTGGGAGGATCCGACTTTGGATCGTCACTCCTCATGTGATCGCGTCGGACATCAAGATTTGCAAGGCTCCGGTCTTGTGCAAGCATTGTACGCGTCGCGTCACCCACGACTCAGTGCCTTCTGCACTGACTCGCAGTTGTTTCTCACTTTGAAAAAATCACTGCCTTCTGCACTGATTCATTTTGGTCCCCGTGGATCAGAAACTTCTTCTTTGATCCACTTGGTCCGCAATAGTACTTAACATATGCGAACGTGTGAGTATGTGGGTGTGTGGCTAGCTAGCTGACGAGCGCGTGTGTTAGTTTATAAGTCGTCGTTGTTAGAAAGGGAGCCATAGCGAATTCCGGCTTCGTTCTGACTCCCTTTCGGGTCTCTAAAGCAGCAACCTCCACGTGGTGAGACCCGGGCAATCGATGTAATTTTCGATTTCCAATCGGTTATAAATCGGAGTTAGAAACCTCCATCATTTTATAACAGATTGTAAATCGATAATTACATCGAGCTAATGGCTGTGAATTATATTTTTCAAATATGTCTTGAACTAGTTTTGTCAAATTTTCCTTGAAGTATTTTTATAAAATTTGTCTTCAACTATGTTTGTCAAATTTGTGTTCAACTATTTTTGAGAGATTTCAATAAGGCATAATAACGTTTTCCGAGCCGCAGAACTTATATACACTCTACCAAATCTTTCTCTGTTCACTATACAAACAATTCGCTAATACTATTAATATTATTACTGGCATTTAAATGCATTTTATGTCACAGGAAAATGGGGCGTTAAAACACCATTGCCATTTCCGTGTCGCACGAAACATGAATAATAAACATGAAAACCTCACTTGCGAATTACAGATATCCTAATGTTTTAAATTGCTGTCAAGTGGCAATGAATCAAATTCGCGTCTTTCTAATCACAAAGCGTCTCGTAATGCAAATGTGGTATACAGAATACTCGATTCTCGCTAAGAATCTTAAATTTCTCTAACATCGGTAACGATGAGCGTGACACAGGGATGGCAATAGGGTTTCTGTAGCCCCATTTTTGGTGGCAAAATAATACATTCGATGTCGAGTCTACTCCTATATCTCGTCTGTGGTAGAACGACGTAGCCATTTATCGCGAGCCCCTGGCGCCAATTTAAAGTTCAAGATATACTATTTCCTTTTTTTATTATTCTTACTATTTAGAGCAATTTTAATCTCTCTTGATAATAATCTCCAGTAACAACGTAACTCTTTCAAGATCTTGCAATTTATTTTCTCACCTTCGTTGCTCATGGGACACTTAAAACGGCGCATGCCTTTTGCCGCTCGTTAAATTGTCGGACTTGAATTTCGCGACGAATATTTCCGGCGTCATGTTCACTTCCGCGTCGATCTTCTGAAATTTACGATCGGAAAACTGGTTCTCGTCGTCGGCCACACTTTTCCGTGCGCCAGCATAAATTTCGCAGGTCCTCGCGGTGTCGCCGTGGTTCTTCTCGTCCACGTACCATTGCGACACCATTTCTTTGAGCGGCTGCAACGTGCTCGCGTTCTGCTGCACTTTCTCCAGCTCCACGTTACAGAGCCGCTCGATCTCCATCAGTTTCTGCTTGTAAATGTTCGCGATCGATATCCAACAGGCGTTGTAACGCTTCTCCGCGTGATCGTACGCCCGGGAATCTTGATATTTCGCCAGCCTCTTCTCGTACTCGAGTATAGTGAGCTCTCTGAACGTGTCCTCGGCGCCGAGGTCCAAAACGTCTCCTGAAAATTAAATTCTATGTAACTTTTGTTCACCGTTCGTGCTCCTCCTACACTCCCTGACTTTTCACGCTTCTCTTTTACCCAATTTATTCGACAAAGGCGACTCTGCTGCGTATGCCGCCGCGGCAGCACGCGCAGCTGCAGTTGCCTCGTGCAGAGCCATCGCACTATCCTTCTCGCGCAACAATTGCAGCTCCTCCCTCTCCTTTCGCCATAGTTGCACCTCGTTTTGCAGCTCTTCTTTGAGACACTTCATGATTTCACGGAGCGACTCTACTCGTTCCCGGAGAACATGGCTGACAATTCAAAACGATTATTTTACTCGTCGCCTAATTACTCGATTTGCGGCGATTCGATAAACTACATTGTTGTTGCACAAGGAACAACAGAGAGGCTAATATATACAAGACAAGCGTCTTCGAAAGCATGTGTTGGAAAATGGTCATAGATATCGTGAATTGTATAGCTGTGAAAATGACCCGTCGTCTAAGGGTTAATCGGAGAGACTTTTGTTTGGTAGTTCCTAACTTCCTGTTCGCATGATCGTCTAGCAACGATTGAACGTCTTCCATGGTCACCGAGGAGTCCTCGGGTTGTTCAAGAACGGCCGAAAGCTTCTCCACGGAGTCCTCGTTCTCCGAAGCTTGCTCGCAAACCGAAAGTACACCCCTTAGGTCCAGCACCAACTCGGGATCCGTTTTGTCCTCCATCGATTCCTCCTCGATTCGTGGCTCGTCGCATCGTTGGTCGGTATTTTGCGTACGTTCGATGTTCGGCGAGCAATCTATCGTAGTCTCTGACAACGATCTCGCATCATTGTCCATCTCGAAAGCTTTTGGTTGGAGCCCTTGACAAAATCGCCGAACGTTCTCGCCATTTAAAAATCCGACTGAAGTTGTCCCTGTAACGAAGAAAAAAATAATGGCTTCTTTGTTTCACTTGCAACCCTTTGCGGACGAATACAGCCATATTGGTTCACGCAAGCAACCCCCAAGATTGCGAGGCAATAATTTCACCAATTAGCCAAAAATTACTTTATTTTTGGATTATTTCAAAAAGTCCTCGTTCGCGAGAAGTTCGAACATTCGACGCTAGGTTATTACCACTATTAACTACCAAGTTTCGCAACGAATACAAATTTGCTCATCAATTATTTATAACGACGAATGTTTTCTATACGAAAGGAATTTATTTATTCGTGATATATAAGGAAGTAACGTTTAATTACCGTTTTAATCAGCGAGCGCACATGACGAAAGTCGACCGTCCACTAATAATGGATCTTGTGTTTGGTAAACACAAGGACGTATCGTGAAGGTGAAACAATAATTAGTGAAAGAGAACGTAATAATATCTAATGCTGGAACGGATGGTGGGAACAGCTGCTATTTTTGCACGAATTCGCTGTCGATGATTGAAATGCGGGATCGTTTGATGTCCAATTCGAAAAGCAAAGCGATTATTTCGGCCCAGCACAGGTATGTTACTTACGTGGGTTACAGTGAACTTTGGTACAGGATGATGGCAGTGAGTGACCTCTTCCACCGTCAGTATCGCGTTAGTTTAGCTGGTTAATATTGATCTCGGCCTGGCGAGAAGGAATGCTCAGGGAAATCAATGATCTCCTCATGGCGTAACGTAGAAACCGTAAGTTTGTTTTATTAAAAAAATAGTCCGCGGGCCGAGGCAATTTTCATTCAGCAGAATTCACGTTTCTGTCATGCACGTCGATTGCTATAACGCAGGTTATGTGCATTCGTCTTTGAACGTAAACGACGGGACGAAGTTCGACTCGGCGAAATAAAACACGAGCCGAGACGTCGACTCTCGCCTACAAAAAGACTCGACTATCCTTTCGGAGCTATGGAAATTATGGTCGGACAAGTATAATGACGGGAAGAGGTTAATCATACCTTGGATTTCATTAGAAAGATTCTCTCGGGCATTCCTTGTGTCAAGGTTCTCAATTAACGGGAAGCATGTTTATGCAACTCTGGTCATTAGTCTGCTGGTATTTCAGACCAATTGTAAAATGGTTGTTGCACCAGACAACACAAATGTGCGAGCTTCAAAGAATCTGTTATGGAGAGCCATCGGGTGCAAGGAGAACTCTAGCTGTAGAGGAATCTCTGAGATTGTCCAGGAATGCGAATATCAAAACTCTTGTGGCTCACTTGAACGATGTAGCCGAACAGCGTGGTATCGTTTCAACAACAGAACTTAAGATATTGGAGGAGGCCATTAGGACCGTATTGGTGACCAAGAAAATAAATCCAACTGCTCATCCTGACTTTGCTAAATCTTTTGGCAAATGTATAGAATTAATTTGGGGCTATAAACGGCTTTGTGTGGAGTGTGAAGAGCTTAGAAAAACGCCTTACGACGCTAAAAATCCTCAGCACGAGTTGCTCTTGTTTCTGTTGTGGAATTTATTAATGCCTCACGAGCGGCTTGATGCTAGAGTAACGAAGCAGTGGCAGGAGATTGGGTTTCAGGGTGATGATCCAAAAACAGATTTCCGTGGAATGGGAATTCTGGGACTAGAAAATTTGCTTTATTTCGCTCAAAAATATCCCAGTGCTGCGACGCATGTACTGTCCCACTCTACTCATCCACGATATGGTTACGCTTTTGCTATAGTTGGCATAAATTTAACTAGCATGGCCCTGCGTCTGTTGAAAGATGGAGCTGCAAAAACTCATATTTATAATTCCTGTAAGACTTTGCCAACAATTCGTGCCTTTCATCAATTTTATTGTTATCTATTCTATGAATTCGATGGGTTCTGGATAGACTCGAAACCAAGCAATATGATGGAATTCTCGTCTATACAAGAAAAATTTGAGAATAGCATTAGAATGGCATTAGCAGACCCATCTACTGTATTTAGGATAAATATATCGGTTGACAATGTTTAATATAGATGCAATATTTTCTGTTGATAAGACCAAAAATATCACACAGGGAATGAATGTAATTTTAAAGAATGCACAGAACTAATTTCTGTAATATATGTGTTGCACTGAGAGTCTTGTGAGTGATTACAATAGCAGCTACGGATAATGTAAGAGGCAAAAATCTGAACACACGGTTGTCTTTGAGTGATTATGTTGCAGGGCTATACAAAGAACTCGATGCATTTCATATATTTTTACTTTATTTTTCTACGAGCTTATCGATAAAATATTGTAAATGGGTGCATCTAATGAATGCGACGGTATGGACAATGAAATTTATTTCGTTAGATTAGTTCAAGTATAATCTACACTTGCAACGCATAAATAAATATGTTGCTCTCAGTTGGACCGTATTATTTAATTGTCGAATGAGTGGATGTAATCGTGAAATGCGCACTTCTGTTAGCACAAATATTTTTTAACACCAACAACTTTTATTCAAGAATATTTATTGTAAAACATAAAAAATATTTCTCTTAAAAGAATTAACCATATTGTAGCTGTTGTACACGTTGTTTTATATGGAATACAACTCAATGTCTAGGTATATTGTATATGAACAAATTTATGTCGCTTTGTACATATTATGGGTACTGAATTTATTTACAGAATAATGGAAGCATATTGTTTTCATAGTCAAATAAAATTCGTCAGGGAATGGAACAAAATCTTATTGTAACAAATTTATTCGTCCGATATTCGTATTGTTTTATGCAACTGTGTGTACGTTGATAATTTTGCACAGTACCCATAACATATTGCTGACGGATAAAACAGTTAGTCTTTCTTCTGAGGTTCCTCGGGTTTGCGCCTAAACTTAGACGCTATCGAAATTATAATAAATACGCCAATGGTAATGCTGCCGAGCTTCATAATCCATGGATTGTCGCGTAGCGCATTCGCAATCATTTGTACAAAATCATCACTGAAAGAATCATTATTTTTACACTACTGTATATCACCCTATTAATTGGAGCTCTACTTTTAATCCTGGGACGACAATGTCAATCTGAATTGATCCTATCCGAAGCTTCATTTGATTTTTTAATTTCAATTACTTAATCATTTCTCTTAGATTTTCATTTAGGAGGAAATTAAGCTTCCCTTTTTTGATGTAACAAAGTAATCAGAAAATTTCAGAACAAGCTTCCAGTGGATAAAGCTTTCAGTTGACGATTGTGTAGTCTCTGAGGATTAATTGTATGAAAGGGGTGTGTACACTTACAATGGGCTTTGTGGTACGGGCACAGGTTCAGCACGCAAATTTTTGTACCAATCTTTCGCGAAAGACACGAACGCGTTCGTTTCGTGTTTCGGGATTTCATAGCGATACATTTTACCGTGCCTGAAGCTAGGAGTACAAAATAAATAATGTTAAATATGGCAACGTGTACTTACAATTTTTGCCGTCCTCGTTCTACCGCTCTCCTGCATCCAATCTTCTATATACTTACAATATAAAAGTGGGGGTATCGTAAACTTTGAATCTCCTTGCTGTAGCTGCTCCAGTCGTTGATTTGTCAATTCTTGCCACATTTACTTTGTGCTTGAGCTTTGCACCTACTGTCTCCCATATGCCAGACAATCTAGCAGACTCTAAGCAATCTGTACTGTAGCTGTTTTAAAAAATGTGCGCATGTGAAATACCAGAGGAGAGAAGAAATATTATTATTAAAACGATACCCACAACATGACCAACCAATCTCCAGTAGTAGCTCCACTGCTTGCTTGTGTTAAATGTTCGAACGTATCATCTGTTAACTGCTTCACAGTGGGTTCTTTGTTTTCCGTAAACATGTATAGAATCTCTTCGTCGTCTAGGGGTCCTGTAAGCTCAAGCTATAGCAATTCTGTATCATAAGAAAAATATCTTCTATTTGTTACCATCGTAGATCAAGGGTCTTCCATATCTATAGAAGACGAGAACAGGCTCCTCATTTGGGCTGACTGCTTTCCTAAGTTGACTGTTCACTGCCACAACCACCCATGCGGACAGAGTATCCACCAGATCCTCCCTCAACTCTGTCATTTGATTCTCAACGTTGTCGCATGCTTCGCAGTTATCCTTTGCTGAAAGAGATGTATACACAGATAAATATTTCGCCTATAAATAATATATTAGAGGAGCAATTAAATCATTCAAAAATTGAAACTCTGAAGCAGTAGGTTATGCCAGAATTCATAGCAACAGATCAAAATCTATGCGTTCTTTAAAGGAGAGCTTCGTTTGCTTCGAGTAAATGGGAGTTTCGAGAGTGATCAGTAATTTTTAAAGAATGATTGCAGTCATAAGAGCGAAAAAAACGTGACTGAAAGTAAATGAAAACTTACTGAAGAGCACGACTACATATTTCTCGTTTGCTATTAAAGCCGTGAGTTCTGCGTCGCTCACCGTCTCGAGACCGTTCGATTGAACAACAGTGAGACTACCTATTACCAGAAAACAGATTATTCCTAACATTTTGCATTAATTCCAATCACCAATATTGTGCAGGTGATCACCGGCGACTGGTACACGTCACACGTTGACGTCTCTTATTTTACTTCGTATTTTTCAAACCGGTGGAGCTGTTCGTGTCCACAAACTCTACTTTATCAAATGGGCTGATTTACCATACAGAGATAAAGCCACAGAATCACAATTTCTCTTTTTATTTTATTAAAAAATACAAAAAACAGCTCCAGATCTACTGATCCACAAGCATTACATATGTAGTCATATATCTACATTATTTTGGCATATTTTGCACTAATTGTAACATTTACTTTATTAATCTGTATTCTATATTTCTTGTATATTAGTCTTTTTTAGCATGAAATGGATGAAAACGATTACTTTGAACATCTTTGCACCTTCAAAAATATTCTTTTAGCCTCTGAATTAGCAGATTCCACGCCGTTCGTTGTTTTATATATTTCAAATACAAATTTGCATTTGGGATATACATTTTTCCACTAGAATAGATAACGTTCTTTCAAAGAATGCAATAATTGATAAAAATGAACGAGGCCTCGCTTATTGTCAGCAATTCGAACAACGTATAAGTATTACTCACTCATTTCAATGTATTGATACACAATTATGCTTCTGCTAATAAATGTTTAAATGTAATTTCTTATATAAACATTTGCTCGTTAAATTAGTATATATTGACCATTTTAGGTGCATACATACGTTCAACGAATTAGCGCGTTTAATTCAGCACGTGTAACTTCAGAGAGGGCAGAGTTTTAAGGTCAAGATTTGTCAATGACCCAGATATCGTCGATTATCATCCTCATTTAAATGTCGACGCCCACGCAAACCGAATAAATCATCAAAATCTCTTCTTCTTGGTATACGTGTATTATTATCAAAATAATCTCATAACGATCCTCTTCATAATCGTTAAGCATTATCATGCGAGCCTTGGGCAGGAACATACCGAGATATTCGTATCGATTATTATAATAATCGATCGATCGTCATGAATCATTCATCGACGGGAGCAGCTCGGAATTTCCGTACGCATTTCTGCTTAGATGACGATGATTTGTAAAATGTAAGCAATCGTGTCATCGTTCTACGTTCGGAACACATCTGCATAAATGGAACCCCTTTATCGCGAAAACAACGGACGCAAGCTCGCCGTAATTTTTCATGCAAATAATCTTCGTTCCCCGTGCAAAGGACAATTGTTTATGCGCTTCTTGGTCTACTTTCTGCATCATCGACAAAATTTACGCATCAGATTAGCTCTCGACAAACTGCTGGAAATGAGCGACCTCATTTTAAAATTGTTATTGTTACACTGTCCGCTCGTTTACAATAATAATCGTCCGCAGCGATCAGAAACAACGAAATAAAAATTGAAATTTATGTAAATAAATAAGCTTGTCGAAAGAAGAGCGTTCATTGTTTAGACTATATATAATAATATTATATTATAACATTATAGTATAATATTATTATATTATATTATAATAATACTATATTATTATATTAATTAAATATTATATTATATAATTATATTATAATATAATAATACTATATTATTATATTAATTAAATATTATATTATATGTATAATATAATATACTGCTTGCAATACAATTTTTAATCTAATAATAATTTGTTAATACTAAAAGCACCATACGATTGACTCCGCAGCACGAATTATTTGAACGATTTATCTGCCTTCGAAATAATCGTTAAAAAATTAGACCAAATTAGATCACCTTTTAATCGTAACCCGATCACAACGACGCGATTATTCCCGAACCATTCGCTTGGAAAACAATCTCGGCAAACGGATTCCATTTGTCCGCAAAACGGCTCGATTAACATTTTTCCAGCAATCGTCTAACGGGTCCGCGCTTTTTTCCTCGTGTTTCGTAAGACTGATACGATCCAATTTGTGCCGCGAATCGGTATTACTTTCCAGCGCGGAAAAATTAGATGCAAGGAGGAAACCCGCGATTGAAAGAGATCGACGCGAGCTTCGCGTAGCCGATCGATGTTCCAGGGACAGGGCCGGCACGAATTACCGGCGGATATCATTTCCTGGATCTCGCGAACCTTGTCGATTTTATTAAATGCTACCAGTCGTTTCACGGCGGGGAACAATGCAGCGTTACGTGACACCCTGAAATAGGCATTGTCCATTCAAGAGAACTGTTCCGTGAATCCGGCGATCACCGCCGCGATCGATCATTTCGTGCCGAAATTACCCGGAATTTGTCGCTGCGCGAATTTCGGGGACGCGCGTCCGGTTCCGCGTACTCGTTTTCGGCGTTTCCGAGTACTCGAGGCAGCCTCGCGTCCGTCATTCTTCAGTCGATCGGTATCTGTCGCTGTTTTTAACTGGTTCTTTGTCGCTACCGATTATAGCAACGCTCTCGTGATCATTTTTAATCGGCCACCCCGCACACCTCGCGTCAATGATCGAACGTTTGAAACGATGTTCGTACGATTTTATCGATTTTTCAGCGAGGCTTATTCATTCGTTGCTTCGGTAAAATATAAGATGACAATGTTACGTTACAAATATGAATTGTTGAAACATAGATAGTCAAAGCTAACACGTAAATACCAAAGTTTAAACGTTCGCGACCGAGTTTACTTTTTATCTATTCTTATTACGAAGGTCAGATAATCGCGGAGACGGTCATTTTCATTGACACCTTTTCTCACGGCGCGTCGGCATCTCTGACAAGCACAATTGCAGCGGACTTAATTGCGGTTTTCAAAGTGTCCGGCGCATAAACGTTACTTTGGAAGGAGGACGGAACTGTTGACAGATCTTGGTCGAGTCACGAATAGGTTTTCTATCGTTCGTTTTAGTCTTTGAATCTTTGACGCCAACATTTTTGCTACTGAGTTAAATATTATAGTAAATTCTTTTTAATTAACGCTAAAATTATGCACAAAAGTGGACAATTTGGGAAGAGGGAGTACGATTATTCGAGCCTCACGGCTCGTTTTTATAGTTTCCGAGTGTTAACAATTATCATAAAATTATAGTAATTATAAGAACGAGTCACAAGGCTCGATTGTCCAAATTGTCCATTTTCGCTTCGAAGCTAAGGGTCAATTAGGGAGAATTTACTATATTTCGCTGGACAGAGAGAAAAATTGTTTAGCAAAAGATTAGCCTGGTTGCACAAATGTTATAAGTATTTCAAATGCCGAAAGAATGCAGACGTATAAATTTTTAGGAAGTTTAGAAATCGTTCTACGCGAGTTGCCTGCAATTCAAACTGGAGTCCCGGGGAAATCCAGTCGGTTTCGACCAAATAAAGGGGTGCTAGATGCGTCAACAGTTCAAACACGCGGTATCAATTCTGCAGAATCAATTGATATCTATTAATCCAAGATGTCTATTCACGATTCCAAATATCTTATTTACCGGGAACGAGGTTCGTAATATGGCGTCGATAGTAAACGTTTCTGAAACGCGTCGTTATCGCTAAAGGTAACATACTGTGATCGGTGAACGTACACTTATCAAAGTTCAAACACCGCTGCACAATAAAAAACGATCGGTATCGCTAGAATAATATTAGTCATTGCAGTGATTTGTCGTTTCAGAAATGGTTTTTTGCAAAGAAATCGATTCTAGTGGTTCGCAAAATTTCTGGGCTAAATTCGAATGAATATCCAATCGAATAAATATTCAATCGAATACAAATTTATCTGGACAACAATTTTACCGAATAAGATTTTATCCGGACAGGAATTCGTTCGAATGCGATTTTAATCGAATAATTCATTTATTGGGATAATTCATTCATTCGAATAATTCATTTATTGGGATAATTCGTTCATTCGAATAATTCATTTATTCGGATAATTCATTCAATCGAATAATTCATTTATTCGGATAATTCATTCATTCGAATGACAATTCATTTATTCGAATAATTCATTCATTCGAATGACAATTCATTTGTTCGAATAATTCTTTAAGGAAGCATGATTAATTAATTAATAAAGGAAATACAGTTCGATAATAATAAAGAGATCAAATATTCGGCGAACCATGTGTAATGCATTATGAGATAATGCTATGTCGGAATCATGCTATTCCCGAAGGAACCGCACTTCCATCAGTAATTCGAATTGTGCCCGCAAAATTTGAGTTCCAAGATAACTTCGATGTAGATTAAACGGCATCCGTTACGGGAAAATCCACAGTTCTATTAGGCGGCTTCGCTTCCTGCGCGCATCATTAAGCAAACAAGTGTAATTTCCGCGGATCCTGTAGCCCGTTAACATGCTAAATCACTGGCAGAACTTTCTTCCTCACTTCCGTAATGCTCGATAAGATTCGCAAACGGTTTCCAACCGTTGATAAAGCACGTGTCTGGGAATTTTGTGGTCAGAAATATAAAAGATGAATAATAGTTGTTTACTTTGGTGGGACCAATGACGCAATTATGAGCATCATTCCGGACCTCGTTTCTCGATGATGATCGTGACGACTCTTGAGCACAGTTTCTTCCGATAATACTAAATTGTTAAAATCTTAGAAGTATACCGATATTTATCGAAATAAATATCGAAATAATCTAATAATAAATCAATGATACTAAAATGGTACGAAAAATCGCACAAAATCAGCTCATCGATATTCGATTCAGTAATCCCCGACGAAATGAGGCGCCATTTAAAAAAAAACTTCGATCTCCTGCTGATCTACGTCAGTGATCGCAACGTTATTTCCGCAACCATCGTATCAATGAATCCCCGATTCGTGATTATATGTATCGAGCGCCTCAAAACGTCATCGTTATCATTGTTAATTAATACCAAACATTGTTATGCAACTATCTAGTTTCGGACAGTTAATTGAAATGCACTAATTCATAAATCCACAATTTCTATTTTCTATTATTTCTAATATAGAAATTTTCAATATAGAAATAATATAATGTTTCGTTAATTAATAATAATAATATAATGTTTTGTTAAATTTTCCTTTAAATAAGATTTCGTTTCGGACAATTAATTCAAATGCTTTAATGAAAATGGTTTAATTGTAAACCAAGTACATGTCATGTCCGAAAAAGCTGATACTAATTATTTAATTAATAAATAAGATAATTATTCACATCACACACTGTACTACTATACTACTACTATACTGAAAATATCTGTAATTTCATTCAAGCCTCGCTTATAAAGCGACGCGTCACATCTTTGGCGCTCGATACATAGGTCTAGCGTTAGAAAATGAATTCCGATTGAAAGTGTTCGATCATTAATCGATCGGAGCAATAATAAAACGCATTCCGAATGCGGAAAAGATTGCTTCCTTCGCGGCGAGGCGCGCCTCGCTGGGGAAATCCGTAATCCCTTGGACAGCCGGTGTCCTCTTCACCTGGATCGCTTATCAAAAGTGGCGCGAGACTTTCCCAGACCACGTGCCTAGTCTAATCAGTAAACATCCACATTGTGGCTGGCCTAATCTGTCGGGAAACCCGAATCTCCTGGCCGTGGTGAAACCGCCACAACGGTGTCCTGTGGGGAGAAGAGGAGAAGTCGTGACAACATCAATGAACATTTCATAGAAATTAGTTAAAGCGACTATCTCTCTTTTATGTTGAAGCTGAAATGTTGCAGAATTAGGGAAAAATAGAGAGAACGTAGCAGGAACGTTTTTGAACCTTGAACAATTATGTCAAATCTGAACATTTATGAAAAACCTGAACAATTATGTGAAACCTGAACAATTATATCAAACCTGGACAATTATATCACAAACCTGAACATTTATGTTATACTTGAAACATTTATGTTAAGCTTGAACATTTATATTATATTTGGAACATTTATGTTAAGCTTCAAGATTTATGTTAGACTTGAACATTTATGTTAAGCTTGAACAATTATGTCGAGCCTGAACATTTATAATAAACTTGAACATTTATGTTAAGCTTGAACAATTATGTCAAGCCTGAACATTTATAATAAACTTGAACATTTATATTATGCTTGGAACATTTACGTTAAGCTTGAACATTTATAATAAACTTGAATATTTATGTCAAGCTTCAACATTTATGTCAAGCTTGAACATTTATAATAAACTTGAACATTTATATTATACTTGGAACATTTATGTCAAGCTTCAAGATATATATTAGACTTGAACAATTGTGTCAAACTTGAACATTTACATTAAACTTGAAATTGTACAGAAAAGCTGTTCGCGCCACGTTCTCCCTATTCATCCCATATCCACCGACGTTACAACGTGTAAAAAACAAGATCATCGCTTTGATTTCGATTTCCACGAAAAGCCTATCGAGATTAATCGACTATCCGCTCCGCCGCTATCAATCTGGATTACGGGCGACGACCCGTGGAACGTCCTGTAGCGAATTTGCTTTGGTCCCGGAGTGGCCCGCGTCGACCCGGATGACCGTCACCGACCGTCACCGACGGAGAAGCGGCAGAGAAATGCTGTAAATACGGGCAGGCCGGCGAGCATTTACAACCAGAACCGAAGACCGGAGTGACTCAGTCGTCTCGTGGCTCTCGATCGATCCACACGTCCACGTCGAAGCCGCGATCATTCCCGCTCTAGGGCTCGCCCGATAGATCCTCGCGTCGTAGATCCTTGCTGCAACCTCCGGCTACCCGGCAAGAAGAATAACCTTGACCTCCCGGCGACCTCTTTTTCTGGCTCGCGGGTGCTCCGAGTGAATTTTGACAGACGAATCCTCGTGCTCGAAGAGAGATACCATCTCGAGAGGAGGACCATCGAGCACCGCGACACACTGCAAAAGGTAAGAAACAGCTGCGTTAATCGTGAAGAATCCCAGATTCCGCTCGCATTCCGTTCGTTCGGCGTCGCAGAGTTCCGTTGCTTCTGCCGTTTTCGTGGCCGCTGTTTACGCGGCCGCTTCGCCGGTGACGTTTTCGATGACACGAGCTTATTTACCTGGTTTTTCATGAATGGAGGAGGCTCAATGATATTTCACGTTGGAGAAATGCGCTAGAGACATTTGCTTGGTCATCGTAGCGTTTGTTGAGCTTCGGTTTTCATGGATGTTGATCATCGTTCGTAGTTGTTGTCGGCGGTATTGATAGTGATTCGCGTTCATCCGATCGGCCGGACTGCGAATTTTTATGCAAAATTAATGTTGAGAGAAACAGGAATTAAATAGAATATTTTTGTACATTTTTGGATAATTTTTGTAGATCGTGAATAATACGGTGACTCTTTTGAACTCTTGTTAATTTCTTACCATTTTAATTTGCTGTTCATTGTTGCCAGAAATGCACGAATTCCGCGGTTTGTTAATTAATGACTGTGATGTGGATCGAAGAGGCTCGACAATTTTATTTTCGAGGAATCTGCTGGAGAACATTGTTAGATCATGGTAGCATTCATCAAGTTTCATTTTTTGTCACTGATGTTTTCCATCCTGTTTATTCGTAGTTTTTTAACGACTAAGATCTGTAATGCAAAATAAAAATTGTCTGCATCAAAATCAAACAGATAGAAACTAAGTGGAAAGTTTCTTCTTGTTTAAATAATTTTAGTAGATCGCGAATGATACAGTGATACTTGCAAAGTGTCTTCTCAAAATTCTTTTTAACTTTTTACTATTTTAAATTGAAACTACTCATTGTTGCCATAAATGCCAATTCCGCAGTCTATTAATGACCGTGTCATAGATATTAGTACATCAACAATTTCGTTTTAGAAAAATGTACTAGAAAAAATTATTCGGTCATGGCATCATCAAATGATGCCTTATCTTTGATGGCAGTTACTCATCGAGGTTGTCGATGCTGGTCGTTGTTAGATTTTCAATGACTGTGTTACAGATACAAGAGGCTCTTGCGAGTCAAGTATTTGAATAGTATATGTCAAGTATTTATACTGTTTGAGAAATTTGTTAAATTGTTGCTAGAATTGTTCGTTCGTAGACGAAGCTGGTGGATCGAATGAGAATATAATTAAGAGGTTAACACTGTTGATCTTCGACTTCTTAGACATTAGTCAAGTGTCAAGTCTAGTGAAGATCCTTTCACTCAAGGTTACTGATTCTGCCATTATTCTTTTTCGCTGACTGAGTAATATCGTGTTCGTTATTAGTCGTTGTACAATTTTCACAATTTTTGCAGTTCTTGCAATTTTCATAATTTTTACAAATCTTACAATTTTCACAATTTTTACAATTTTTACAATTCTTACAATTCTTACAATTTTCACAATTCTTACAATTTTTACAATTCTTACAATTTTCACAATTTTTACAATTCTTACAATTGTCACAATTTTTACAATTCTTACAATTTTCACAATTTTCACAATGTTCACAATTACCATTTCTATGTACTATTCTCTGTCATAAGTTGTAGTTGCTTACTGTTCGCGTCATTGTCAGCATTTTACCAACCAGAAGCTCGTTTGAATCGTTTTTAAGTGTTTGATGAACTGCAAATATAGTTAGGGCGACGAGACTATTTGCTGAGCATATAGGTACGAAAGGCTTTCGCAGAATCAATGATGGTTCTAAATATATTTTTATCTGCCCTGATCTATCATGTCTATTTTATAGTCTCTTTCCGAGAACATCGCGATTAAGAGCATAGCTTTTCACATTACTTTCTTGCATGAAACTGTTAATAGACTGTATGAACACAGGAATACGTCAAATTGATATTAAGTTACATTGCTAAATTATTTCTTTATTTCTTTCTTTCTTCATTTCTCTATTTATTTGTTCATTTCTTTATTTATTTATTTCTTTCCTTCTTAATTTATTTATTTATTCATTCCATCTATACTCTATCAAAGTATAAAAATATTCCTATAACAATAATGCACAAATAGAAATACCTGTATTCATACAATACAAATATATTATAACAACAACAAATATGAAGGAACGACATAAAAGTCCAGCAAATAATTTCAATGCCACAATTGTTAAAATAGAAGAACATTTGTATATTCGAAAAATATCATATATCGAAAATTATTATTATTGAAAGACACAAATTGTTATTCCTCACTGTAGCTGAAATACCGATGCCTAAAAATGCCTAGCATTTGTCTCTGTAATATTACACGATCAAAACTACATTACACTTGTGACATTTATAATTAATTTTATAAAAAATTGAACTCTAATAAAAACCTCAATCCTTTATTAATCACATCGGTAATTTCGCGTGCTTATAAAAATAAGCCTGCGACTTCACACATCCGTATTTCATTGGCGAATTGATTGGTGAAGAGAATGGAAGATTGTTAACGATTATTTACGAACGAATCCGAAGTCGGATTCAATCGATTGCTAAATTCTTCGCGCAAGACGTCGAAATAAAGTAATGTATGAAACGTTTCGATTGAATTGATCATCGAAAACCTGTTGCATTAAAGACAATCTGTTGCCCATCGTTTCTTTCTATAATTGCGATCGTTCTCTCTCGCATGTTTCTCGTGTAACCTTCGATTAAATTTCTCTGTCCGCGAAGATTTCAAATGTGTTGCGAAATCGCGTCACTTGTGAAGCCATTTGACAGTAACTCTGACATTTCGAGAAGGCGTTGACGACCCTCTCGGACGGTTTAAACTGGCACGGTCGAACGGAACTTCAAAAACTTTAGATCGACAGCAGCAATTTTCTGTTGCAACAAAGTGCATCGCGCTGATTACTAAGACGCCGATCTTCGCGAAAAAATTCATATTTGCCTAGCTCGTTGCACAATCTCAAAAGGAAAGGATGACTGTGTACCCTCGTTCTTATCGCGTCAGAATGTTGCAAAAGATTTAGCAATAATCCGATTCTGAAGGATTTTCTTTGCAAAAGTGCTTCGAGGCTAAGGAAACACTCGAACTCGAGGGCGGCGTTAAAAATTGCTGCAGCAATCTTCAGTGTTAATTTTCACGTAATTTTTATATCATTAAATATTTCTATAGTTGATAGATCACTGATAAAGAAACCATCTGGTTTAAAGCGTTAATGAGTAATTATTTATTCATTATAAATATTTCATTATATTGTTGTAGTTATAATTAGATACATTATAATTAAATATTCCATTATATATTCAAATAAATAATTATTCGCGTTCATGCTTTGAATATATATAATATAGAATAGAGATAGAATATATAATATATATAATATAATATATATTATATAATATTATAATATATAAGTTATATATAATATAATATATATTATATAATATTATAATATATAAGTTATATATAATATAATATATATAATATAAATATAGAATATATTGAATATATATATATTAAATATAGAAATATTTAATGACACGCGTGCAAGTTACTGAAATTGTGAAATTGACAATTTCTTCGCGATTTTGATGTACGAATACTAATTAAATATTTCTAATATAAATATTAAATAATAATAATATTATTATTATTATTATTATATATTAAATATTGCTCTGTTAACAATATTTAATTGGAGTGGGTGTAATGTAAACGTATCGAAGCACATAATCATAATCATGCAAGTTAGCGAAGTTATAAAATTGACAACCTATTTACGCCTTTTTTTAACTGTTCTTTATCCTAATCGAATATTTCTTCCGTCAATGTTTAATCGAGCCGAGTAATAGACGAACTCATTAACGCACACAATTACAATCGTTCAAGCAACGTAACTGCAACGCAATCTTCTCCATCGTTTCTTATTCACTGTATCGACTTCGACGCGAAAAGAAATCTCGACGATCGATCAAGTTAAAAGCAGTGCGTCCATTAATTAACAACTTCTTTCTCTCCGGCATGATTTCAATCGCGGCGTCCGACTCTCGGCGCCATGTGAAAATTCAATTAAACGCGGCAATTATGGAATATAATCGCGATTGAAACATAAATGACCGGATAAAATCTTCGACAATGTTTCTCGCTCCGCGATGATTAATAGAGAACATTTTTATTCGCGCAAACTCGTGCCACCCGCGAGCCGATCGTCGACTAATCGACCTAAAAATAACAATGATCGCGGATACATTATTCCGTGCAATTACCAGCGGATGCTAATTGCTGCTGATATTCGACCTGAATCCGAAAAAAAAGGAAACTGAAAGGACAGAAGCGTCAGAAATTTCCACGAAAGCTCTCTATTTACGGCTGCTCGACGAAAATTTGCATAGATACGCGGATATTGCGAACACGCCGGAATTCCTCGAAGAAAAAGCTCGCGGTGACAAAAACAATCGCAATCGCTGTGCAGATTACACGTATCTCTCCCCGGGAAAACCAGAAGTCGTCGGAAAACGGCCGCAGATAAGCGAAATTGTACAACCCTGTGGCCGGCCGGCCGGCGGATCGCGCGAGCGCGAATAAAATGATCGGTAAAATCAATGGTGACGCGAGATCCGCGNGTAATTATTTATTCATTATAAATATTTCATTATATTGTTGTAGTTATAATTAGATACATTATAATTAAATATTCCATTATATATTCAAATAAATAATTATTCGCGTTCATGCTTTGAATATATATAATATAGAATAGAGATAGAATATATAATATATATAATATAATATAAATATAGAATAGAGATAGAATATATAATATATATAATATAATATATATTATATAATATTATAATATATAAGTTATATATAATATAATATATATAATATAAATATAGAATATATTGAATATATATATATTAAATATAGAAATATTTAATGACACGCGTGCAAGTTACTGAAATTGTGAAATTGACAATTTCTTCGCGATTTTGATGTACGAATACTAATTAAATATTTCTAATATAAATATTAAATAATAATAATATTATTATTATTATTATTATATATTAAATATTGCTCTGTTAACAATATTTAATTGGAGTGGGTGTAATGTAAACGTATCGAAGCACATAATCATAATCATGCAAGTTAGCGAAGTTATAAAATTGACAACCTATTTACGCCTTTTTTTAACTGTTCTTTATCCTAATCGAATATTTCTTCCGTCAATGTTTAATCGAGCCGAGTAATAGACGAACTCATTAACGCACACAATTACAATCGTTCAAGCAACGTAACTGCAACGCAATCTTCTCCATCGTTTCTTATTCACTGTATCGACTTCGACGCGAAAAGAAATCTCGACGATCGATCAAGTTAAAAGCAGTGCGTCCATTAATTAACAACTTCTTTCTCTCCGGCATGATTTCAATCGCGGCGTCCGACTCTCGGCGCCATGTGAAAATTCAATTAAACGCGGCAATTATGGAATATAATCGCGATTGAAACATAAATGACCGGATAAAATCTTCGACAATGTTTCTCGCTCCGCGATGATTAATAGAGAACATTTTTATTCGCGCAAACTCGTGCCACCCGCGAGCCGATCGTCGACTAATCGACCTAAAAATAACAATGATCGCGGATACATTATTCCGTGCAATTACCAGCGGATGCTAATTGCTGCTGATATTCGACCTGAATCCGAAAAAAAAGGAAACTGAAAGGACAGAAGCGTCAGAAATTTCCACGAAAGCTCTCTATTTACGGCTGCTCGACGAAAATTTGCATAGATACGCGGATATTGCGAACACGCCGGAATTCCTCGAAGAAAAAGCTCGCGGTGACAAAAACAATCGCAATCGCTGTGCAGATTACACGTATCTCTCCCCGGGAAAACCAGAAGTCGTCGGAAAACGGCCGCAGATAAGCGAAATTGTACAACCCTGTGGCCGGCCGGCCGGCGGATCGCGCGAGCGCGAATAAAATGATCGGTAAAATCAATGGTGACGCGAGATCCGCGCATTCTCGCATCGGACACGTGCGCTAAGGCCATCGTCGACGGATTTCAACGGCATTAATCATGCACGCCGCGGCGACGTCGCCGTTATCTTCGTCGAACATCACCCTCCGCTGCGAAACGTTTTCTCCGCGGCGAAACTTTTTCTCCGCGGCGGTGCAACATCGGGCCCCGTAATGATCTTCCATCCGCGAAACGGACGACTAATCGGGGGAGGATCATTGAGCTTGCAATCTTCAGGGAATTCCGTCGCGTTCCGTGATCCGTCGATCCGCCGTTTACGAAGGTGCTGTGCCGCCTAAAGGTCAATCGTTGAACCGCGACGCGGGAAGATGAAAGCGCGTCGGAGGCCTTGAACGATCGAACCGCGGGGATTATTCATTGTCATCGATTATATCTGTGTACACGCGGATCATATAGTCGCGCGTGTTTCGCGAAATGCATAAAATATGGAATCTCGAGAATTTGGACGAGACTCCAAATCGAGAGAGTCGCAGTCTTTTCTTTCTTTCTTTCTTCTTGCTTTATGTGAAAGAAGAAACAGTTTTTGAGTAAAAAATACTGGAATCGTGACTGCGTTTCCGGAGGCACATGAAACGCGACACAGACTATCGGATTCGCTCGCTGGTGTTTATCGTGTTCGCAACAACGAGCACGTGTTCCTCCGATATAACAAATTACGGGGCGTTCAGACGATCGATATTTATTGTCACTCTAGTTTCGAGGCCGCCGATATCTCGCGCAAACATCTGAACCCACGGAATTTCACGTGATTCGATACAATTTGTCCGATCGTCGTTGCTTCATTATTCCGCGCCGGCGTCGGTGTCTGCGTCTGTGCAGAAATTATTTATAATATGATTAGAAAATTGAAATTATAATTGATTTCCAATATACGTTGGAATCCATTTAAATTATAATTGGTTTTTAATATAAGTGAAAATTATAGTTGAATAGCAAATATAAATTGAAATTATAATCGAGTTCCAATATAAATTTAAATTATAATTGATTTGTAATATTCATCTGAATTATAATTTTCCTTTATAATGTATACAAAGTATAATATAAGTGAATATTACAATTGAATTCCAATATAAATTGAAATTACGATTGTATTCCAATATAAATTGAGATTACAATTGAATTCCAATATAAATTGAAATTACAATTGATTTCCAATATAAATTGAGATTACAATTGAATTCCAATATAAATTGAAATTACAATTGATTTCCAATATAAATTGAAATTACAATTGAATTCCAATATAAATCTAAATTATAATCGACGTTTAATATATATTAGGAACTCCCTGCAATTTAAATTTGCATCAACAATTCATAACACTTAAATTTTCCATGGAAATCTGTCACTATTAATTTTACTTGGATTTCAAAAAAATCAACTCGCTTAAATTTACATTCGAATTCGACTATTTCAGAGAGGCTTAAATTGATCGCATCATAATTTATCGAAACTATTGGACATCCATAAAGAATGATCGCGAGTTTCAACTAATCCTGGCATATTTCACGAGTCGTAGTCAGCGGCTGTTATTAACGCGCGGCAGGTTTAGTGTTAATAATTCAAACTTATTGTATTCTTTGTGTTCTCGTCTACACGATAGACGCGACGGACGCTTCTTTTGCATGTTCATCCTTATCCCATAAAGAGTCGAACCCCGGCTCTCCTATTCGATGTGGGTTTTTCCAATGGATTCTCTCACACAACCGCAACAGACACGTTGTGTTGCCATCTGTCAAGGTCCGGTGACGAGTTTGCGGCGTCTCCAAGAGCGTCTTCGTGTTACCGGACATGTACACCGGGACAATGATACTGAATTCTTCTTTCCACCTAACAACAAAAGAAATTCAATGGTTCTTCGAACACGCTAAAACAACCGACGAGAAACAAAACCGACGACGCCGACGAAATTAGCGACTTCATCATTCCAAAAGCCGTAATCGAATATCTATGCAAAGGCGTTTCGTAATCACCAAGTCATTCCACGAATTTCGGAATTTCCCAAAATTCGTGCCAAAGCTCCTGCTTAAATTCGTTGCAACGATTTTGGACGGAATTTATTAATTCTTGGCGTCGTTCGCTTTTTTCTCTTGCTTCAGAAATTTGTTTGTTCTCTGCCTTTGAAAATTAATTTGTTCTCTGTCTTTTAAAATTCAATTGTTCTCTGTCTCTTAAAATTCAACTGTTCTCTGTCTCTTAAAATTCAATTGTTCTCTATCTCTTAAAATTTAATTGTTCTCTATTTTTTAAAATTAATTTTCTCCAATTTATACAAAACGTATGTAAATTATAAATGCACATCTTCTTTCTGCTTGTACAAAGTTAAAACACGAAACAGCGAGAACAATTGAAGAATCTAGCAACGCTGTTACATTATTATCAATTTCCAAAATCTATTAACAAGTTCATCGCAATCTATAAACCGTCAACTTCGCCTCGTAAATGCTCCAAGTCGATCAAAGAAGAAGAAGAAAAAAAAGAGGAAAGATTTTTTTTCCCTGCGTGCACAATTCGTTACACAATAACATTTTCTGTTTGTCAATACGCCGAAGTATTTTCCCAAGGAGCTGTTTGCGGTTTTCGTATCAATTATCGTCGCGGAATTAGCAGTAATTGCAAACCGCAATCGACAAACCACGATAATGCGAGCGAAAAGGAAATTTATGAGGTCATGTGTTTACATATGAAACAATAATCTCTGGGCTGCCGTCACAGGAAAGTAGCTAATTGAAATCGTTCTCGTAATTATCCATCGCTCGTTCTTATCGACAGATAAATACGTATTGTAATTAAGGCTTCCGGTGCACGATCGTTCCTTTCCTCTCTGTTCTCGTCGCAAGATTTTTCTAATCGACGAACGTCTTGCACATTTGGCAGACGTCTCAGTTTCCGTGCCCGTCCAAATTTCCGTGGCTGTCCCAATTTCCGTGTCTCCGGATCGAAGCCGGGAATTTTAGAGATTCCGCGATTGTCCCAATTTTCGTGCTCCTCCCAATTTCCGTGGCTGTCCCAATTTCTGTGTCTCTGGATAAAAAACGTACAGAAAATAAATTAATTAAATAATCAATTACATAAATATATATTTATTTATTTATTTAATATAATATTATATGTATATATTTATTAATAGTATTATACTAATTAATAATATTATATTATATATATTTATATATTTATAATTATATATATATAATTATTAAATTAACACCTCTCGCCGAATCGTACATGCTGCTAAGCAACCATAATAAAAAAGATATACATCATCAATTTCCATATAGAACTTCTGTTTTTCCATACGCTTTAGACGCGTCTTCGACGCGGAAACTGCGTCGGGCACGGAAACTGGTACATCTGCACTAGTATGCCGGTGAAATTTCTTCGAGAAACTAGCGTTCTCAGAAGCCTCGATACAATAGATCGTCGCGATCGCATACATATGCATGCGGATCGTATTAAGGTATCTCGTTAGGTGGATCTTGAAAGCTGAATCTTGTTTATGAAAAAACGAACGACTCGAGGCTGCTGATCGAGATATCAAACGAGTTTCGTGTTTACAGAAAAATCAATGCATCGATGATACTGGTTCCGAGGGACCGATTCTGTTCTCATTTCCGAGATTAGCACAGCTTTCTCAGCATGTACAGCAAAATCTACCTAATTCTTCTTCAGCTTCTAAACAAAAATTGACAATTTGGGAAGTGGAGATACGATTATTTTACAGCTACCGATTGTTAACAACTATAAAAACGAGCCACAAAGCTACAATAATCGTACCTTCTCTTCCCAATTTTTGTCCATTTTTGTTTCCAAGCAGAAATTATATTATATATATATTATATAATATATAATTATAATATATAATTATTATATAATTATATATTATATATATTATATTTTTATTTAGTTTCTGTTCGACGTAAGAGACGACGATCATTTTTATTCTCTCGTTACATCGCTTCTAATAAGGTTTGCTTCTAAGTGAGGCTAATTAATAACGCGTCCGAAATGTGCTTATCCGAACACGCAACGATTCCGAATTCCTTTGATCGTCGCGTCTTCGTTAAATGAAGATCTCGCTCGTGGGATTTGTGAATAAAATCCAGCATTCTGTGCTGGATGTTAACGCGATAAAGCGATAAATATAGCTCAAGGAGCCAGCAACGATGAAACGTTGAAACCGGTTTATCGAAATTTCAGATCTGCGTGGAAGTAAAACAGATCTCTCCATCGGATTAAACTTACTTCGAGTGACCACAGATTGAAGAGTTTGGTTGACAATGATTAAGTAAAACTGCTTCGGTCGTCGAATTATTTTCCAGTCTCTGAAAGTTGTCGAATATCTTTCAATTATTAAATATTGCGAGGTCGCTGATATTGCAAACGACGCTCCCTGAAAATATGACTTTCACAAAAGGATAATCAGATCGGCAATCGCCGTGCACACAGATTCGTTGCGATCTGCCCCGTGAATCATGAATATATGAACGCAAAAAAGCAGTTCAGACAATCACTGGGTTCCTAAAAAAAAAAAGAAAAGAAAAATCGGAATCACAATAGAATTGCACTCAATTAGCCGTTCAAGGCCGATTTTCTCGACAACTTTGCATGAAAATTTATCGCGAGACTGCTACGCGATAACCTTGTCGAATTAATTGGTTGTTCGCTAAGGATTTTCGTAGACGTTTTCCAATCAGTCCTTAACGGAACTGTATCGGCTGGTTTGCAATTAGCATGATCGGCGCAATTAAGTAAACGGTACTTTCGGTTCCTAGCTGTATCGCGAATTCGTCAAAAATAGACTACGTTAATTATCGTAAAGAATAGAGAGGAATAAATGATTAGGAGACTGCGGATTTTTATGCAAAATAAATATTGTGACTTTACTCGACAATTTTAATAAATTGTAATTATAATATATCTATTATTGTATTATATCTATTAAATATTATATATATATTATATTATATATATTAAATATTATATATATTAAAAATATATTATAATATATATAATATTATAATATAATATGATGTTATTATATTTATTAATTAACGATGCATAGAATCCGCGGTCTAATAATTAAGAATGCATAGAATCCGCGATCTAGTAATTAATAATGTCATATAATCCGTACTCTACCAATTAACAAGGCATATCTAGATTTTTATAATAATAAAAAAGTCTACTCTAGTAACAATAGACATTTCTATTATGTCTACAATAATAAAAAAGTCTACTCTAGTAACAATAAACATTTCTATTACGTCTACAATAATAAAAATGTCTATTCAACCGCAGTCTACTAATGAATTTAATTTCAATTTTACTTTACGTCTATATTTCTATAATAATAAAAACCCCTATTCTTCTTCTGCAGACACGATGTTCAAGTTGATGTTCCTCGGCCTTCTGGCCTGCGCTTCCGGTCAGCTGATCTACCCGGACGAGTTCGAGATGCTGAAGTCCTCGATACAGCCCCTACAGGTGGCCAATATTCCTCAATCGAGGCCTCCTGTGAATGCTGTTCCTAACAACAATGCCGTGTACTATTCAACGCCGTTGCCGATTCCTACGTCTTTCCCGAGCGGGAGACCTACATTCACAACTCCGCAACAATTTCCACCAGGTGCATCAAGAGCTCCACAGCAATTTCCAGTAGGTACAACAAGACCTCCGCAGCGATTTCCAGTAGCTGCATCAAGACCTGCGCAGGCAGCTGCACCAGAGAATCCTCTCCAAGACTGGGATGAGCACGTAAGCGAATCTACAACTGAAACAAACATTACAGATAACGACACACTGGCTAATAAACATCGTTCATTGCATTCGCGTTGTTTTCGGCGCGAATTGTTCTCCGTCAACCCTTTGTGCCCGAGTGGGTGACTCCGAGGCATCGCTAAAATCGTTAAATTACGTTTTAAGATCATTTTTACATTGTCAAAGATTCGCGAATTACATTTGCGAAATGCTTCGTAAAATGAAAAATAGTCGAATACTCGAGGGTCGATTTCCACCCCTAAAAAAAGCAGTTTCAGAATTCTTTGAATTTCTTTTCGAATAGGAACTTGAGCGGCGATCTTTAATTACAGGTGAACAATATCATCGTGAGGGGTCTGATAAAGTTCAGCTTGGACATCGAACGTGAAATCCACAGGACGAGGGGCACCTCGATGTTCGACCAACAGGACAACATAGTCTTCTCGCCGATCAGTTTGTCGGTGGCCCTGGCGCTCGTCCTCGCCGGTTCCGCCGGAAGAACCTTCAACGAGGTCTCCAGAGTCCTCGGCCTCGAGTCCGGCGTTGATATCTCGAGGAACTCGGAGATCGTTCATCAGATGTTCGGCATACTGCTCGATCAACTTCACAATAATCTGGCGAACTCCGCCGGGCCCCGCTTGGACTTCGCCACGGCCGCGTTCGTGCAGGTATAGCGACCTCGACATTGCACATTTGAGACCGTAAAAATCGCAGATTTTGCCAAAAATGTATCATCATTTCATTAGTCACGAAATTTACCCTATTTATATCTTATATCGTTCACCCTTGGCACTCGAACGCCATGAAAAATCACGTTCTATCATGTTCCCGTCACGTTAAAAATTAATGAATTCGTATTTCGTTACGTTAGAACGACTATCCGATCCTCCAAGAGTTCAAATCGATCAGCCAAGACGTCTACGGGAACGAGGTGATCGACGTGGACTTCGCCAGGAAAGGGAGATCGGTGCAGCAAATGATAAACGCGTGGGTGAAGCAGAAGACGATGGGCAAGATCGACAGCATCCTGAACGACGTGCCGTCTCCGGACACCACGCTGATTCTTCTGTCAGCGCTTTACTTCAACGGGGAGTGGAATCAGCACTTCTTGCAAGGGGCTACTAAGAGGTTCGCCTTTGTTGTCTCTCTGAAGAATAAACGCGTATCTCGATCGAATTTAATCGATTGCTAACGGGTCAAGAAATGTCGTATTAACATTTCGAATCTTTCACTCGTCTAGGAGGCAGTTCTTCATCGAACCAGACCGGGCGATCAACGTAGACATGATGTACAATGGCGGCCAGTTCCCCTTCTACGAAGACAAGCAGCTCGGTGTAAAAATCATCGGTCTGCCTTACAAAGGCCAAGAGGTGAATATCGATTGGTAGACTTAGGCGGATCTTTGTGAGAAATGTTCTGCGTCTGCTTGCGCCAGCTGCGAGAAACTAAGCCACTATATATGACTGTAAAACCACCCCAAAAATATTCGGTCTTTGTACATAGCAAAGTTCTGTTAAAATATAACAATGAACGAAGTATGCCATATGCGAAATCGTATTGAGAAACAATGTATCTTTTTAGAAGGCAATTTGCTTTGAATTTTTGTGCGACAAAGTGTTCTATTCTTGTTGATTATATAGTTACAAAACAAGAATAAATTAGTTTCCTTTTCTTCGCTGAATAAACTTTGTCCCTTTTTCTCAAATATGGCACACTTCGTTCATTAATATGTTAACTATAAAAACTGAACATTTTTGGACAGTTCTATAGCTACAACTAGACCGCGGATTTGACATATTTCTGACAAAAATTAGGTGGATCGAATGCAGAACAGTGAAAACATTTAAAGAACTCGAAGATGCTATCGCATTATTTTCAAATCAGTAAAACAATCAAAGAAGAAAATAAATGTCTATCTAAATAATAAATGCAGCTTTTGTATCTTGCAATCGATGCAGACGATTTCTATTTCGCATAAAAATCCGCGGTTCAGTTACGACACGCAGTGATGCATCCTACAGTCTCAAATGTCAAATAACTCGAGCAACCGCAGACGATTGCCGCATTCCACGCTGCAACTCGAACTGTATCACAGAATCTGCCCGAAGGATCCGTTCGCTTTGCTCGTCCCAAGCAAGACTATCCCGCCTAACGTCATTTCCGCCTCTTCCAGACCTCGATGTACGTGCTGCTGCCAAACGCGAGGGGCGCGAAAGCGCTGCGAGATTTCCTGAGCAAGTTGAAGGTGGAGAACATCGAGAGCCTGATAGACAACATGAAGAACGAAACCTGCATCGTGGGGCTGCCGAAGATGAAGCTGTCGAGCAGCCTGAGCCTGAAGTCGACGTTGGCGAATCTGGGTCTGACGTCTCTGTTCGACCCGGCAACGGCTGATCTGAGCTTGATATCGCAGGGCGCCATTTCACCAAGGACTGCCTCGGATCCCAGACGAACCACTCAGATGCCGTCGCGGCAGACCAACGGCGTGACGATCGGCCCGCGGGTCGGCGTCGACAACATGGTGAGGAGGAACTTCTTCGAGTACGAAGACAAGAACCGGGGGTACACGGTGGAGCAGTGGTCGACCGGCTTCTCCATCAGGAAGTCCAGAAAGCCTCGCGAGTCCGAGACGACGCGCCGGTCCAAGGTCGCCGGTGGGTCTGATCTGAAAGAGGACAAGGACGTCTACAGAGTGGAAGGCTCGGATCCGGCGGGCGACGCGAAGGTCGTGAGTCTCGAGGCGAACAGGTACCGGTTCCTGACGGCGCAGAGGGCCAGGAGACAGAGCAGGCCCATCAACGAGGACTTCCTCGACTTCATCAAGCAGCGGAACTTCCCGTCGTACGGGCTCGACGACCTGAGGAACTCCGCGAACCTCGTGAACCCGCATATCTTCGCGTCGGACGTGCTCCATAAGGTCGAGATAGACATCACGGAGACCGGCACCGAGGCTGCAGCCGTGACCGGCGTGATCCTGGAGCGTGACGGCAGCCAGAAGAGGCTGCTGGCCAACCGGCCGTTCCTCTTCATCATCAGGAACGATCGCACCGGGCTCATCCTCTTCTGGGGCACCGTGAACTCGCCCACGCCGAACTACTCCGTCACGTAATCCGCGAGAGACTCCGTGCTTATGATTAAGGTACTCGCCTACAGAGGAATCTGGCCGCGCAAGAGGTCACGATCCGTGATTTTTGCGGGACTCTCCGGGTCCGTACGTGCCGATTTGCGATCTGATACGAGCGTTTGCCGACGAGAGGCGGACGAAGGACCGCGGAGTCGATGGCGAACGTCGATAAGTAAATATGCGAGACGGTACAGAGAATTTTTGCGGACGTCGAACACAGCGAAGCCTCGATTATACTGATCTGTAGAACGGAACGCGTGTTCTCGGATGACGCAGCAATTACTTAAGCTAATTAACGGATTAAATATTCGCTCGTTTTTATAATAGACAGCGTTGATTCGCCTTTGTTCGCATCGCATCGAGACGGTAAAGAATTCGCAGGTTCGTGTAAGCGAGACTCCGCTGTAAATTACCACGATTATGATTCTATATAATATAAAATAATTATATTATTATTATTATTACTATGAGTCGATCCGGAAACCTCGCGGCCGATGCAGGACATCCGCGCGAAGTCTGCTGGCAACATGTCATCGCTTACGTTTTCCGCTTGCGTAAGAACTGCGGCGCGAGCGTGTACACGAACCGTTGACTGAGAAGAATATTTGCGGCGTTTTAGCATCCGCGGTGTCGCGAACCGACGTGGAGCAGTTTGAAAAACTGACTTCGACGAGGAAGCATTCGCTCGGCCGTTCTCGATCGCAAACGAGTTTTCGCATCAGATCGCAGATCGGTGTCCTCCTCGGACGCCGCGAAACAGTATTAAACATCGAACATTGGTACTTATAAATAGCCCGGTCGTGACCTCTACTCCTTACTTTCTAATTAATCGATATTATATGCCATTGCTTAGCGTCGTGTAGCTTCCAGCATGTTCGCGAGGACGTTCGTTTTCACGGACGCCCGCAGCATGCGGGCGATTATCGTTAGGAAACAGAGTCAATGTCTCTCTAATTGACGCCCAGATTGACTACAAAAATGGATAATTTCAGAAGAGGAGATACGATTATTTTATAAGATTATTCGAGCCTTTTGGCACATTTTTACAGTTATAAGTTGTCCACGATTATAAAAACGAGCCGCGAGGCTCGGATAATCGTATCTCCTCCTCCCAAATTGTCCATTTTAGTGGACAATCTGAGCGTCAGTAAGGGAGACATTACTGTACGTGAGACGATTGCGTAAAAAAACGTTGCCCGTGCAAAACGCGACTGGCAGAGACGCTCGTGCGTCGACTTATTCGTAACAGTTTTCCTTGATTCGCCGTCGTAGACTCTTATACACACTACCCGGGCGTCACGAATCGAGCCATAATCGTCGTTTTATGGTAGACACGTTTTTTGGATTCCTAGTAAGACAGTATTTTCGAAACACGCTTCCTAACTCGCACGCACGGCGTTCGATATCGCGCGGCGCGATTCAACGTTGCATCATCGAATGCTAATCTCGGCATTGTGAACAATTAAGTTATTAAAAGAATTGTTTTACATAATCGCGACGAATAAAACGGTTCCGAGGTGTCGCGTTCCATCATTGCTCGCTGTTCCGCGCTCGGACGACCACCGGTTTTCGTTGTCGTCGAGACGCGAGATTGTTGACACAGAGGTGTTTCAAACAACGATACAACGATACGCTGTATTATTTTTTTTGCCATTGCCGTCGACCACGATTGCGCGCGATCGTGCCTGCATACGTTCTGAAACAAATCCACTCGGTTTAGATATGTAAATTTCGTTCTTTTATTCAAGGATATTTTACAAGTTATAATACAAAGACTGTAATAATCCGATGCAACAGAAATAAATCGAAGATCTTTGTTCGGACGGCTGTATAACGATTTTTATATAGAAGAGAAACTTTTTCATGTACATAAACTTTCGCTGGATCACACGTAGCCGCATAAATCATTGAAACAAAAGTATATCACGCAGTTTCGTTTCGTACGCAGCATAAGTACAACCGTCTCGTAATTAAGTAACCCTGACTATAAGAAACAACAGCTTTTTTTGCAATACACAGAATCCCCGCGTCGGGCTCGGTTAATTTTGCGAACTGAAAACTCGTCGTCTACTCGATGCCCAACACAGCCTACGATAGTAATCGATTATGAAAAATATTCGTTCTGTGTATTTCAAGTTTCAATAGCTTAAAATCTTCTCCTCTTTCGCGCGTAATATATTCAATGATATTTCTTTTCTTTTCTCCTTTTTTAGAGACTTTATATTATTACGACTGTGTGTTCAATACGTTTAGGGCGTCATACGCAAAACATCACGATATCGAGACAATAATTTANCTTCGACGAGGAAGCATTCGCTCGGCCGTTCTCGATCGCAAACGAGTTTTCGCATCAGATCGCAGATCGGTGTCCTCCTCGGACGCCGCGAAACAGTATTAAACATCGAACATTGGTACTTATAAATAGCCCGGTCGTGACCTCTACTCCTTACTTTCTAATTAATCGATATTATATGCCATTGCTTAGCGTCGTGTAGCTTCCAGCATGTTCGCGAGGACGTTCGTTTTCACGGACGCCCGCAGCATGCGGGCGATTATCGTTAGGAAACAGAGTCAATGTCTCTCTAATTGACGCCCAGATTGACTACAAAAATGGATAATTTCAGAAGAGGAGATACGATTATTTTATAAGATTATTCGAGCCTTTTGGCACATTTTTACAGTTATAAGTTGTCCACGATTATAAAAACGAGCCGCGAGGCTCGGATAATCGTATCTCCTCCTCCCAAATTGTCCATTTTAGTGGACAATCTGAGCGTCAGTAAGGGAGACATTACTGTACGTGAGACGATTGCGTAAAAAAACGTTGCCCGTGCAAAACGCGACTGGCAGAGACGCTCGTGCGTCGACTTATTCGTAACAGTTTTCCTTGATTCGCCGTCGTAGACTCTTATACACACTACCCGGGCGTCACGAATCGAGCCATAATCGTCGTTTTATGGTAGACACGTTTTTTGGATTCCTAGTAAGACAGTATTTTCGAAACACGCTTCCTAACTCGCACGCACGGCGTTCGATATCGCGCGGCGCGATTCAACGTTGCATCATCGAATGCTAATCTCGGCATTGTGAACAATTAAGTTATTAAAAGAATTGTTTTACATAATCGCGACGAATAAAACGGTTCCGAGGTGTCGCGTTCCATCATTGCTCGCTGTTCCGCGCTCGGACGACCACCGGTTTTCGTTGTCGTCGAGACGCGAGATTGTTGACACAGAGGTGTTTCAAACAACGATACAACGATACGCTGTATTATTTTTTTTGCCATTGCCGTCGACCACGATTGCGCGCGATCGTGCCTGCATACGTTCTGAAACAAATCCACTCGGTTTAGATATGTAAATTTCGTTCTTTTATTCAAGGATATTTTACAAGTTATAATACAAAGACTGTAATAATCCGATGCAACAGAAATAAATCGAAGATCTTTGTTCGGACGGCTGTATAACGATTTTTATATAGAAGAGAAACTTTTTCATGTACATAAACTTTCGCTGGATCACACGTAGCCGCATAAATCATTGAAACAAAAGTATATCACGCAGTTTCGTTTCGTACGCAGCATAAGTACAACCGTCTCGTAATTAAGTAACCCTGACTATAAGAAACAACAGCTTTTTTTGCAATACACAGAATCCCCGCGTCGGGCTCGGTTAATTTTGCGAACTGAAAACTCGTCGTCTACTCGATGCCCAACACAGCCTACGATAGTAATCGATTATGAAAAATATTCGTTCTGTGTATTTCAAGTTTCAATAGCTTAAAATCTTCTCCTCTTTCGCGCGTAATATATTCAATGATATTTCTTTTCTTTTCTCCTTTTTTAGAGACTTTATATTATTACGACTGTGTGTTCAATACGTTTAGGGCGTCATACGCAAAACATCACGATATCGAGACAATAATTTATTTCGTAACACGAAACAATGATAGCCGTAAACTTCTCTCGCGAATAGAATCTTTGTTTCATACTTGGAACAGAAGGTATTTGTTGCGCTCTATTCCTCTCGGTTATATTGTATAAGTTTTCTTTCTTCGCGGTGTTATTATCCTGAACGATCGCAAATGCTCCAGATAAAATAAACGAAACAGAACCGTGTGTGCACAGTATGTACCAGACATGGGCGCATCTTGTTTGGAATAAAAAGAATAATAATAATTATTATTATAGTGTGAAATGTGATCGATTATTTCAAATCATTTGTATCTTAAAAATCGCACAGAGAAAGCAACCTTCATTTCATTTCACAGTGGAGCTACATGGAAAAATCATTTTCATAGCACAAGACAACGTCCCGTCGAATATATTATTATTGAAATCTTTTTATTTTCCAAATATATTTGTGCGATGTCCGAGTCTGGTTCCAACTCCATAATATAGAAACTACATTTTACACGTCGTTCACAATACCGCAGCGAAGTGTTCACGTACAAACATTGTTCCAAAGAGATCACACATAATTTCACGATACTTACGTTAAACGCGTACTCTCTAATCGCATATCACTTTAAAATAGCCGAACGCCTTTATATCTTTGTAATCAATCTATAACATTTAATACTTTTTACACGCGAGAAATTTCGTTTCGACTTACTGAATACTGTTCTGTTGACCTATCAACGGAAATATCTGTGTGATCTTGCCGATACCTTTGGTGCGACCCTCCCTCAGCAATAGTCGCATACCAACATGCAGATATTCCGGATGGCTGACGAACCTAAACAGCACGGAGGCTTTGTCGTTGGTCTGCAGACCTCTGTCCTTCGCGTCCATTATTCCCTTAATGATGCAGGTCTGCCTCACGTTCCCAATGTGCACTGTCGTTTGGAAACCAGAAAATATTGCTGTCGCGTGATACACTATTAATACCGTCGCCTGTAAAAAGAAAGAAGTTCATCAATTACTGCGTGCAATTTTTCACTCTGATTTCACAGCCAGGAAGCGACACATACTTGGAAAAAGAGTGTCGCATGCGGTTGGTCCCATAGTGAAACGAGAACCATCCCTGGTCGCAGGTGCGGTAGGGGAGGACTGCGATTGTTAGGTGGTGCTAGCGTTAGACTTGCGCTTTGAGATGCCCTTACCAGGCAACAAGGTGCCTTATTGCGATGAAGGCTGACGACCTTGACAGGACTGAACTCCCCATCCGGCAGTGGTCCTACCAGTAATCGAGTGCCGGGCGCGATCGCTCCTTTTACGAGCAATCCGCCTAAGACAGGTTCGTTTAAACCTGCTACCCTATAACAAAAGAAACAAATTTATTCTTTTCATGGTTACGTCAACCACGCGTGAACCTTCGTACAAGGACTGCGCGTGTACCTGAACGTTTCGTCGATTTGAAATAGACAGGAGTCTGATTCGGAATCCGTGGAGTTCACGTCGTGCGGAGACAGATTTTTAATAAAGTTCGTCAGATGCTCCAGACCCTCCCCAGTGACGCAACTGACATTAAACACTGGTATCACGTCCGATTCGTAGTTCCAGGGTATGTGGCCGTCGTTGTACATTAGCAGCTGTTTCGAGTAACCTTGTGCGCTGATCGCGTTCTCTAATTGAGTTAGAGTTTCCGCGATGTTGCAGAGACCCAGGTCTATTTTGTTTACAACTATGAAGATTGGAAGTCCTAGGGTGAGGCAGAGAGCCATGTGCTCCTGCGACGCTTCGTTGATTGGCGGTGCTACGACTAGCATAACGTGGTGAGGTGAATATCCTGAAAGACAGTGTCGGCTGTTAATTTGATCAATTGTGAACTTGACCGCGGTACAGAAGTAACGTCGGGAATATCGTACCGGTGAGACCTAGAACCGTTGTCCTTAAATATTTACGATGCCCCGCGAGATCTATAAACGTCACCACTTTCGAAGCGTGCTCGCATATCTCCTCGGCAGTTGCCATTTCCGCGTAATTCAGCACGTGCCCTTCGTTGTCGAACCCTATGATTTCGTGGGAAATCGACGAGGTACGACCGGTTTTTATTTCGTGAAGATGCCGCAGCATATTCAGCCTTGCTCTTCCTCTCCCATTATCCAATTCACCCTGCGTCAGTACACCTATTATACATTTAGAATGCGTTAGTGCCGCCATATAAATTCTACCGTTATTGACTAAATGAGCAACAAGCATGGCAGAGTAAACACTAAGTATATTTCTCTACCTTAAATGTCCTCTGCTAATCCTCTCACCTAAGAGAGTTGACTTCCCAGCATCCTGTGCACCAGTCACGGCAAGTCTCAGATCAACGATACTATCCCGATCATCTCCGTCGCCTTTCCGTAATTTTTTTACCAAAATTTCTGCCACTCGCCTTTCCTCCTTGTTGTTAGCGTGCGCGGATATATCTTTATTTTTAGAATTGGCAAGTCTTTCGCGTAATATAGTTGTCGTAGCACCTAGTCTGGCTGCCATGTCATTTAAAGTCTTCAAGGATGCTTTCATATCGTCTCTTGTCAGGCCCGTTAGCCTGCCGTTATCTTCCACGCCTGATTATGGAAAGAATAAGAGACGAAGAAATAAACGAGCCATTCCTATTTATGCACAAGTCGCGAGAATAAACGGATCTGTACCAATTTGATAAATAGCCTCTCCGTGACCCTCCCTAAGCCTCCATTTCATCTGAGTTACTAGATGCTCGAACCGTTGACTAGATGGATTGATTAATTTCAGTTTATATTCGATGTTGCCTTGTTCCGGCTCCGGTGGCAGTCTTTCCTCCTGATCATCGTCCGTGCTGGAATTCTCGCAATCCGACGTTCCATTTCCTTCATTCTCGGAGTCGTTCCATGTTTCCTTTCGCGTGTTCCTGTGGTTGCCTGGATCAAACAGTTCCAAGAACGACTCCATATCTGGAACAACAAAATAATAATTCGTATAGCACCAATTTTGAACAGAAAGCGAGGTATTTAAATTATTTTCTTTCCCGATAAACAAATATATATATAAAGTGTTGAACTTATTAAAAAGGTAATCACACAAACTATATGTTGTGACATAATATTGCATCACACTTTGCCATTATGTCATTCGACATATAAAACACATCGGTACAGTAACTGTTCTACACAAATGTCGGGTCTATAAGCACTCCATAAAATTCACTCGGATTCTCGTTTTACACTTGATTTTCTCTGATGCATTATCTCCTTCGTGAAAACACTAAATAACTTACTTGAACAATTGATTAATTAAAGTTACGCGTTTCGATGTCCGGTGTATTCCTCGGCAACCGTATTGACCACGATATTGCATCAATAAATAACTTTCGTTATCGTATGTTTAAACCGGTCTCCCTTACACGATATTCAAGGTTTAATCAAACTCGAATAACATTCGAAAGGACAAGATACAATGAAAAATGTTCGAGCGCGCCAAACCGACGTACATATCGCATTACGCTTCAACAGCTGTATACACACGTAGTGGTGGGATCGACATCCCGCGTGTTATCAAAGTTTGATCTAACATTGTATTGTTTCAGATAACGTTATTTTTCCGTCGCATCTTTCTAATTTCGTCACGATTATTCATCTTTCGACAATTCGTCATTCGAAATCAAACATATTTAATCGAATTTTCAAAATCGTCAGCAAGATTTTGCCTCTATCCGTCGAATTTACAATTATCTATTTGCATTATCAAATCGTAGGTATATTGTTCTGATATTATCAATTAATTCTTCGTTGACGTCATTGTTATCAATCATTTCAGTTACACTGTCATTTCATAGATACTGTGGACATTCGTCTTGAACAATCTGCTCTACATCTTTCGAATAAAATGCATACTCGAAAAGGCTTCCACAGGTAATAAATTATTATTATTTGATCTATTTATTATTTAATCACTATTGCCGCGTCTGCTTGATCGTTGCGAAGCTGATATCAATGGTTAATGAATTTTCATCACTTTTGGCGGGTTCCTATACTTCTCATTGAGCATTCGGATATCGAGCTTTTCTAGCGTCATCGATATGTATTACTGTATTGGTCCCATCGCTACCTGCATGTTATGTACACCGCACAATGCACGACACAGCGAAAACAAAACCGTGTGCAAACAAAGTACATATTCCCGGGGACACGAGCTGAAATCAAAGTGCATATGGAAAATGGAACTGCGGTAAAACACGATTGCTTTCGCGGAATCGATAGCAACTGGGCTCGAAAGGGAACCCGTTCGAGCGTTTACGAGCGTCGATAAATCAGAGATGACAGCTACGCGACGACGAAAACACTGGTCGACGTGACGCGCATTTGCATAGAATGATTTTTAATCGGAAACGGTTCGAGACTTACTGCATTTTACAAACGATAATTGCCCGTGCTGTCGCTGTTGCACCAACGAAAATGAAATTTCGTTCAAGACCTTCGCCAATATTGAATAACACACGCACCTTTCACTTTCCCTCCCGTTTTTTTTAACGCTCGACCGTGCGCAAATCGGTCGAGATCAGCCCGTTACCGTTACCAGCCCCGCTGTATCATCCCGATCACGAAACCGCAGGCCACAGACTCAAGTTGACACAATATAAAAGCTGCGAAACTAATTCTTCAGCTCACCGCCAGGAGTCTGTTGGTGTCCGGTGATTCCCGGTTATACATAACTTCGAGTGGCATCGATAAAAGAACAATGACCAAAGCATGATCATTTTTATCAACAAGTCGAATCTTTACGCCAACGTCGTATGAATTTTGTGTCTTTAAGAAAATCGAGGAGACAAGTCTGGAACTTTCATCTTTCGTTACTTATTTCCTGAAAATCGGTGAGATTGCTTTGAATTAGTATGAAAAAAGAATAGTCAAACGTAACATGTAATAGTTGTAAAGAGAACTAATTGTTGTTCGTTACTCAATAAAGGATTTTCTGTTAAATTGCTCGTTTTAAAAGATATCCGTCATGCCGTCGTATTCGTAGCTCTCATAACCGCAATCATGCGTACATTTTAGGCTCCGTCTTCTAGGTACATGAGCTAAAAACGTTAATTTTATCAAAATTAATGCATAAAAAACTGAACAAAGGGTATGGAATTGTTCGGGAGAATCTGCTGCATCGATATCGTATAAAAAAACAAATGACAATATTGCGAAACGTTAATAATTAGACTTTGCAGTTTTGTCAACTATCATGTTAAACAATTATAATTTCCGTTGTTGTCGTTTGGTTTACTAACGTGATACAGATGCAGCAGACTCCCCTGAACAATTCTGTGCCCTTGGTTTCATTTTTGATGCCCTATTTTAGCCATAATTAATGTTTTTAGACGACGATACATTGTACATCTGTGGCGCCTCTGGTGGAGAAACGATGAAGCTCCTTTCGATGTCCGTACAGCGCCAATTAGTGCGGTGGCAAAACTCTCAAACTGTTAGCCAAATTCGATTGTTGGTAACTTGGCGAACAGTTTGAGAGTTTCTCTACTGGACTAATTGGCGCTGTACGGACATCGGAAGGAGCTTCACCGTTCCTCCACCAGATGCGCCACGTGTGCAGACTGCGGGATCGCCAAAAAGCATTAATTATTGCTAAAATAGGACACAAAAGACTAAACCAAGATCACAGAACTGTTCAGAAGAATCTGCTGCATCGATGTAGCACAAAAAAACCAACTGCAACATTGCGAAACGTAATTAATTACATTTTGAAGTTTGATTAACTATTGTGTTAATTAATTACATTTTTCGTCGATGTCAAATGGTTTTCCAATATGAAATCGATGCAGCAGACTCTCCTGAACAATTCTATGTCCTCGGTTTAATTTTTGATGCCATATTTTAGCCGTAATTAATGTTTTTAGAGCATGATACATTGTTCACATGTGGCGCCTCTGGTGGAGAAACAGTGAAGCTTCTTTCGACGTCCGTGCAGCGCCAATTAGTCCCGTGGCAAAACGCTCAAACTGTTCGCCGAATTACCGACAGTCGAATTTGGTTAGCAGTTTGGGCGTTTTGCCACGGGACTAATTGCCGCTAAACGGACATCGAAAGGAGCTTCACTGTTCCTCCACCAGAGGCGCCACGCGTGTTCAATGTATTGTCATCTAGAAACATTAATTATGGCTAAAATAGGGCATCAAAAATGAAACCAAGGACACAGAATTGTTCAGGAGAATCTGCTGCATCGAATTAGCAGACAGAAAGAAACTACAACATCGCGAAACGTAATTAATAACATCGTGAAGTTTGATTAACTATTATCTTAACTAATTACATTTTCCGTTGTCGTTAATTAATTTTCTTACACGACATCGATACAGCAGATTCTACTGAACAGTTCTGTATCTTTGATTCAGCTCTTTATGCCCTAATTTTGCCATTATTATTGTTTTCAGGCGTCCCTGCATTGCGCATACACACATAGAAAAATCCACTAGCCAGTGATATCTATTCTATACGTATACGTACGCAGTTCGCGAGATTCTACTGAACTTTGAACGCGTTTTCCAACCTAATTTCTCATATTATATATATATATATATTCCAATCATTACTATATCATTACAAATTTCACGAAATAAAATTTAACGTATCGGCGCCGAGTTGTCCGACTTTCGAACGCGGTTCGCGGCGGCCAATGCGCGGGACGCTTGCATTGTGGCTCCCCCTTTAGGCCGAAGAATTCATCAGTTCCATGGAAACGCAGGATAACAGTTTCCAAGAACCTAATTCCGGTCGTAGGGATCGCTCGAAAGCAAACCTATCGCGTCGTCCGCCAATAATATAGATCACGTTTGTTGTTGCTATCGAGCCGAGAGAAACCTAACCTTCGTATTCGGTGGAGGCCCCCCCGAGCACGATCGCGGCGAGACGGTGTCCGGGATCGTGGGATCATCTGTGGCCGCGCATGATCAGACGTGAGCAAATTTTTCTGTGTCAGAAAAATCCTGTCGCTGTGTGTATGCCTTTAAAACGATACACTGTTATCTGTGAAAGCGTCGCGAAACATAAACAAACTCTGTCGGGGGCACGCTGTCGTCGCGTCCCGAGTTCTCGCGTTATTTATAATCCGTGCTATCTAACCGCGTCCAGTAGCATGACCGTCCGCAACAGGATTTGTTTTCCTGCGACCGATCGTCATCAGTTGTTCCCTGTGCTCGCGACGACAATGCGTCGTCGGCTCCACGGCCCTGTTTCTCGTTTCACCCGTTATGCCGCTCGGCTGTTCTAAACGATCACGGATTCGATCGTCTCGCCGACGATAATGGAAGGAGGACCGGGCCGCACGGCGAGGAACCCACTGTGCCGCGATAAACTGTTATTTACATGCAGCTAAAGTCGACGAGTATAAACATGGCCGTCGCACTTTCTGTTGATCACTCGTGTCGGTGCGGGACCGAGGAAGCCCAGCCGGGCACGGAATAATGGACGGGACCCGTGCACGACAGATATTATATCCAGGTAAACGAAAAAGTAGCTTTCGGTCATTGCTGGATCATCTGTTTCGGCCGCTTTCGGGCCCCTCTCGGTGTTGCCTTGTCTCGCCACACTTGCTTACACACATCGATTCGGTGCCTCTCGCGTAACAACCTCGCACATATTCGCCCGTTAATTATCCCTCGGCCGGGCTTTTCCAGTTCTCCTGTCGCTTCTACGGAACAACGGGTGTTTCTCTCTCTCTCTCTACGCTTTTTGACGTGCTTCCCGCGAAGGTGACTGAACCTCGTACGTCATACGCATTGTTAACACGTAACGCGATCGCGATCATAGCTCAGCTGACTACTATTGACCTATTGGTGTTTGCTGTCAGAGCTAAGTTTTCGGGGCTGTTTTTCTGAGACAGATCCGCTGGATAATCGTGAATCCTCGATCCGTCGCGGATCGTTCCCGTAGTCGATGCAAGGATCGTTTCATCTCTGTGCGGAATTTTTTCGTTGCGTTCGATTTAAATAAGTGTGCCAGTGATGTTGTATCCGAGTGTCCTCAATCGCGAGTGTTGCATTTTGCAGCGGTGCACACGGAGCGATTCGTCTGCGTAACGTATACGTGCAACGTGTATTTACGGTGGTCGATTGTTGTTTCGATGGATTACGCATTTTTTGAAAATTATTTGTTGTTCCCTCGATGAAACGTTTTCGTTTAGTGGAACGCGTGCTCGTGGCTGTTCTCAATGAAGCTATTTTATTCGTGTATGTAATCGGCGATCGTTTGTTTATTAGTCGTCGATAAATATAAAATGAATATATATATAAATGGAAATATATGTGTATACGTACATGTGTTAATTTTTCTTTCTGTGTTTCGTTTATGTGTTTCAACCGAAGTTGTGGTTTATGAGTGTGTACGTGATATTTATCGTCGCTTTTATTATTGCATGCTTTTGTGAGAATATATTGTTAATATGTTTGTTGTACCGTGTTAATTGTAGCAGCATTTGTTCGTAGTATTTGTTGGTCAGCTGAGAATGATGGTAGTTTACTTCCTGCTACCTTACACTTCAATCTTTGCACCCAATATACATGTATTGGATATTAAAGGTCATCTGTGCAATAATAAACACTGATAACAAGTGTATTCTTGGAGTTTTGAAGGCATTGTTGGTGTCAGATGTGCTTCTCTCTTCTCACACATGGCACACTGCTTTTTCCCTTATTGTCATCCATGAGTTCGTTGCAGTGGACAATTTTTTTATTTACCGATTCCACTGGCATTTAGAATGGACAATTTATTGGTATTTTAAGTTTTAAATATAATATATAAGTATTTAAAGCTTTTATATATATAAAATATAAGTATAATATAAAAAATATAAGTATAATATAAAATATAAGTATAATATAATACTTATATAAAATATAAGTATTTATATATATTTATATATATAATGTATATGTATTTATATATATATTTATATATATAAAAACTTTAAATACTTATATATTATATTTAAAACTTAAGATACTCTAATAAATTGTCCATACTTATATAAAATATAAGTATTTAAAGTGTTAATTTTTCACATGCAACTTTCTTCGTTATTACCAGCTACAGCATTTAATTTGGCAGCGATTGTAATAACTTTTCTGTGAAGAATCCTTTTATTATTAATTAAAGCGTTCGTGTATCTCGTGTACACTAATTGAAACATTCATTCGAATTGTGCATGAACTGATTTATCGAGCTTTCTTTTTTACACGATTTAGCACGCTGAACGGACAAGTTATTTAAACAATGATTATTATTTCGAACGTTGTTCCACGTTTACACTCGTGTTTGCTGGATGTTATTTTTAAAAAAGCAGCGTTTACACACACACACAGCTTCTTCGCGCTGATTAGATACTTAGAGGCATTAATAAAACAGTTTTACCCTTAGAATAGCGCGTTAAGATAATCTGTTGTGAACACGTTGTAAACTGGCATTTGAACATGTGATGACATTGAACAATTTTTATTCCTTTCAAGCTTCGATTATTTCGTCGGACATGGGTGAACGAATTTTCGGGCATTGAGAATATCAATATTATCCGTTTAAAAGACGCTTCCGAATCAATGCAGAGCACTTTCTAGGTAAATATCATACGTTAGCTAACAAAGTGAAAGTTTCAGATGCGATCGACGGCTTTCGTTGTTTTTACGTAAACCGCTCGAAGCGCGTGTGGAAGCTTCCTTAAGGAAAAAGAAAGAAAGAAAAAATGAATATCCGAAGCACAAAGATGCGCGAGATCACAGGAGATCACAGTTTAATCAACGAAAGATTTCACATAAATAATGAACGTATCGATAAAAAAGAAATATGAAATGCATAAATGATACGAAATTATTTATCTCACTTTTACAGTGTGTATATAGAATCATTATTTATAGCGCATGTTAATTATTAATCGTTCATTGAACAACAGAGGTTGCGCTTTTAAAAAAAGCCATTGTTCTTGGCTTTGGCGATCCGAGGTATTGGCATTGAAAATTATCGTTCGAGGTCGCCGTATCGAAGAATCGTTTGAAACAATTTTTGAAACAACATTCTATTGCATTCCGAATAAAAAAAAATTGTTTCAAACGATTAGAGAATAGAAAATAGAAAATAATATAACGAATAGAGAATAGAAAATAATATATATATTATATATTATTTTCTATTTTCTATTCTATTCATTATTTTTCTATTATTATATATTATAATAATATATAATAATAGAAAAATAATAATTAGAACAGAAAATTTTCAATGGCAAGGTTCAAAGTTCACTGTGCTTGGTTGGTAACAGATAAAAGCGAGCGATCCTCGAGAAAGACATGTTTATATTACCCTGTGGTATCAATGATTTCAGGCTGTTGTCTCTGGGTGAGCAATGAATGTATTCCGAATTTTGACTCCATGTGTATTGCAACGCAGACGACCAAAGGAGGCACATAATTCCGATAAAAGGGATTGCTGGTTTGTGAAAAGACGGCGGGGAGATGCTTCCTACATGATACATAGGATGGGTGCTTCTGCATCGTCAAGCATCACCAGTGTAGGTGGAGATTCAGTCCAGGCAGCTAGACTCTCATCTTCTGCTAATCCCGATCAACATGGCATTGCTATCAGGTAGTTAAACATTCACGCTATCTTGTTTATACTTTGCATTTTATAGCTGTATCGTCGCTGATACAGTTCCACGCATAATTGAGAACCGGCGGCTGTCGGTATTCTCGGAATCTTAACTTCAACTTAACTTCAACAATCGTGACAAGAAATTCGCTGAGAAAACCTGGGCTCATCTGTTCCACTTTTATTTTCCAGGGAAAAGAAGAGGAAAATGACGGGGTTCGCGACGCTGAGAAAGAAGTTCATTCGAAGACGCAGGTCTTCGAAGGCCTGCGACCATGGCAGAATAATCAGAGATTTGGTGTCGACGTGGAGCCACCTGGAGGCGACGGCTCTTCTGGAAGAGTACGAGGCCTTGGCTGCGTTGAAAGACCTCCATGTTCAAGCTGAACTAGCTAGGCCACCGGCAGCAACGTACAAACAAGACTTGTCCATGTTATACGATTACAAACACTGCTCCGACGTGGATCTCGTTTACCGCGGAGCCTGTTTTCCCGTTCACAGAGCTCTGTTGTCCGCGCGTTGTCCGTACTTCAGGGACTTGCTAGCTGGCTGTCCAGGTACACAGAGATACATATGTATTTGCGCTTAACCTTTTAGGTACGTCGCGCCGCTATAGTGGCTTTCGCGGATGTCATCTCTCTGGACGACGCGCCGCTATAGTGGCTTGCTCTAGTAGCTCACTCGCTCATCGTTCGAATCAAATAATCGTCTTCATATGCATTGTTTCACACTTCTTTTGTCTTCGCATCGGTTTACAACAGTCTGCAGGGTGTCCCAAAAATGTCTCGCAATGCGGAAATGGCGAGTTCCTTGGATCATTTGAAGCAACTTCTTCCTTTACAAAAATGTTCTCCGAGGCACCGTTAACGAGTTATTAACGAAAAACAGTGACCAATAAGAATCGAGTACGGCTGACGCGAGGCGGCCCAGCCAACCAGCGCGCGAAGCCTAGTTCCGCTCATTGGCTCGATCGCCTCGCGCCAGCCGAGCTCGCCTCTCATTGGTCACTGTTTTTCGTTGATAACTCGTTAACGGTGCCTCGGAGAACATTTTTGTAAAGGAAGAAGTTGCTTCGAATGATCCGAGGAAACCGCCACTTTCGGATTGCGAGACATTTTTGGGACACCCTGTATATTCAGTATCAGACTCTGTACAATACACATCAGACTCTGCCGTCGAGAGAAATAACCTCGCGCAGAATTCAGCCGTACCTAAAAGGTTAACGAGAGAAGCATCATTCGAATCGTTGAACTGAACGGACAAGCGAAGAAAGAATGCTAGTAGTAGAAAGATGGCTACAGTAGTTTTCCTGTTACGTTTCAGGGTACGGTGCCAGGATATGCTTGGAGCTGAGAACACCGAACCTCGAGGTTCAAATGTTTTCGGCCCTGTTGCGTTACCTCTACACCGGCGACATTTGCCCCCACGACGCGGCCCTGGAGGCGAATCTTCTGCGGCGCTTAGGGGAGGAATTCGGCACGCCGAACCCGTTGGAACACGATCTCAGATATTTGCTGGACACCGGTGATTACGCGGACGCCGCACTAGTGTTCACGTCGGACAGTGATTATCAGAGACCGGATAGTGGAAGTTCCGAATACGGATTCCGGCCAAAGTTAGAACTGCCATGTCATAAAGCGATACTTTCTGCGAGATCTCCGTTCTTCAGGAACTTAATACAAAGACGGACTAGATCGGGGGAAGATCACACAGAAAGGGCGCTTCATATACCTACTAGAATAGTTTTGGACGAGAGTGTAATTCCCAAACGATATGCCAGAGTATTATTACATGCAGTGTATTTAGATACCGTTGATTTGTCGTTAATTATGAGAGGTAATGGTTGCGGAAACAGCGCCGGTAGTCTTGGAGAGGTAAATATGTTGCTTACGAATATGGCTTCTGTTGTACTGTCCAACGATTGTCCCACGTTTCGATAATCAATAGAACAATTTTTTCTAAAAATTGGGTACGATGCGGAAGAACGGTTCTTAAATTCAGATCTCTTATATGGAGAATATACATGTAAGACGCGTCTGTTGAATATTGAAACGTCGGAAGATGTTGAAACACGTTGGACGGTCATTTCATTTCGGACATTACGTTACGCAGCGTTTTCGAGTTAGGTGATATTGCAACGATCTCGACACCGGTGTAGACTCATTTGTTCGTATTTGCTCCAAGGTTCAAGCTCTCACTCATACTGGACGTGTTCGACCAAGTCCTTTGGAGGAAGCAATGGAATTGTACCAAATCGGCAGATTTTTGGAGTTAGATATACTGTCACAGGGTTGTGAAGATCTTATTTTAGAATACCTTACATTGGAATCGCTTCCAGCTGTACTGAAGTGAGTTTCGTGGCTCGAAGCTTTTTTTATCGGTCGTTTTATAAGTCGATGACAAAACGACTTCTTTCACATTATCGTTTTTGCCCCTTGATTTTGCAGATGGGGTAGCCAGCCTCACGGATCCGCATGGGTACACCGACAAGCGTTGCATTACCTGAGAGAGGAATTCCAGCCGGTCGCCTCTTCTTCCATCCTGCATCAGTTGGATCATGCACACTTGGCGAACGTTTTGCAAAGCCATTTTTTGCAAGCCAGCGAGCTTGAAATACTGCAGGCAGTACTCAAGTGGGGGGAACAAGAATTGGTGCGCCGTATGGAAGACAGAGAGCCTAATTTACTTAGCCATACAGTGCACTCCGTGACAAGAAAGGGGCTGAAGAAACGGGACCTAAGCGACATAGAATTACGAGAGATACTCAGCGAACTTTTACCTCTTGTCAGGATGGATCATATATTACCGCCTAACAGTGAAGCACTGACACAGGTAAGAATTTTATAATACTTTAAACGAAAATCTGTCTTTCACATTTGGAAAGAATATCTACGGGCTCGTTGATTTTAACGTGTTCTTTGTATTTAGGCTATTAGGAGGGGGTTGGTATCAACACCGCCGAGTCACATGATAGGGGATGAAAGGGAGAACCTTCGAATGAACGCTTGGATAAGGGGCGGGAAGAAGAATGGATTTTTTGTAAGGCCGAGACTGTTTATGCCGTATTACGAGGAAATCAAGGTAAATGCGGTGTAGTCAAACCCTCCATCTTCTTTCTGGTTTCGCGATCGCAGCGGCCGCCGAATAATAACTCTTCGTTCCTTCGCAGTCTTTAGTTGAGGAACAGATGGTCCAAGAAGCAGATTTAGTGAGATTACGAAGGCCACGATACGTTGCCGATATTCCCGATGCCTTGTACATGGTTGACGAGAAACCCAGACCAATTGGCACGGCCGGCGTAGATGTCCTCGCTGCCGCGTTTCCAGGTACTTTAACTGCAATTTCGCCGGCGTTGTTGTTGTTTCTTCCTTGGGAAGAACTTGTTCAGTTTAGGTTTTATTTAAGTTCCAGATTCAGTAACCTTGGCAGCTATGATGAAACGTGAGCAGAAATTGAGGCAGTCTCCCAGTTGTCAGAGGGCTATCAATTTACCGCTGTCGTCGCGGCACGAGATCAACAGGCAGGTGCGGCTACGCGTTGTCAGGGAGTTCAACTTACCCGACACGGTGGCGGATCTGTTGGAGGTGAGTACTCTTGTATTTTCTGTGAACAATACTGAATACTTGAGACAACGTTAATGTTACTTTGTTGAAAATATACGATAACGTGCTGAAGCACGTAGTGCATCCATTAATGCACTGAAAGGTATATATATACAGCAATATATATATAAATAATAATAATAATAATATATATAAAGGTATATATATATATCTGAGAGAGGAATTCCAGCCGGAATAAAATATATATCTACCGAAAAATGTGCATAGAGCGAATGTGATCTTGAGAAAGAAACGTTTTCGGCACCGAGTTTGCCGAACATCGAAAATAGATCCACGCTTCCGACGCGGAGAGAAGCGTATCGTGTAACGATAACGTAAAATCGCTGTATTGTTGTTCGGATCGAGAACGAAAAACTAGTCAGCACGTTTGTGTCTCACCGTCGTTGTTACATAAAATGTAACAATTCTGCGTCCGCCGATGAAAACCCGAATAAGACTCTATTTACGACATCTCTATTTCACGCGACCACAAATATGTACTCGGAGACCGTGATTGCAGCACGAATTCGAAACACGTAATAAGTATGAGATAATAGGACTCTGAAACACGCACCTGTGCATTTACATAATCGTATCGATTACTCAACGATGTCACGCTTGTCACGGTCACTTTTTGGATCGCCGGTACATATATATCAATAGAATATTATTTTCGAAAAATATATTTTATTTATTTACACGTTCGTCACCGGATTTCGTAACAAGCAATAATATATTTAGAAGCATCGAAATATTTCTGTATATATCGAAGATGTGTACAACTCTTGTAAAGCGTTCAAAAAATAATTCTTATATATTTGGTATTTTCGTGTAATGCAGCTCTCAGATACCACGTATGTATTATTTCTCCCTAATGTCTTCTATCATATACATATATACATATACGTGTATCTGTATATTTGTATATACATATATGCGTGAACTAGCAGCACTCGTACAAGTACAATTTACTATCAATACAATATTATATATAAAACATGCATTCGTTGTCGTCGTGTTTGTACTTTTAAGTATGTCCGCGTATAAAAAAATAATCCTTGAATAACAACAATTTGCCTAACAACGCGTTAACAACCGAATTGAATACTATTCTAACAGCCATCCTCGTTTCTCGAACAGCTGCACGATGTGCAGCATCTTTTGCTTGTACACGTTGTCGCTTGCCCGCGTCAAGAATACGCTTTTTGTTACGTCCTCCAACGCCGGGCCGTTCTCTTTCGGCGCCTGAATCACTTGCGCCATCATCAGGCACTGACTGAGCTTGACGGGCCCGCAGTAGTTCACGATCTCGTCGAATTTCTTCTTCGAGAACTTCTCCGTGTCGACCTTCAGCTTCTTCAACGACTTGACAAAGCTGTCGTAATAGTAATCGATCATGTGGTCCAGCTGATGGTCCAGGACCTCTCTGTTCGCGCTGGACACCAGGAAGAAGATCAGGTCCTTGATGCCGTAGTCGTAGACGCTCAGCTGGAAGTCGACGATCTTCACGCCAAGGAGCTGCCCGCGGGCGTCGTGTCTGAACATCATGTTGTTCACCCAGAAGTCGTTGTGGACCAGCGTCGCCCACGGTTCCTCCGGCTTCTTGGCGTTCTTGCTCTCCTGCTCGCAGTACTCCAAGGTCCTGTCGACGCGGTCCAGATAGGGCTTCGCCTCTTCCATCTCGTGCAGGTCATCCTGCGCCTTCTTGATCATGTCGTACAGGCATCTCAGCGTCGTATCGTTCGGATTGTCCTCCATAACGATCGCCGCAATCTTCTCGAACAGCTGCGGCTTCTTCAGCTTCAGCGCCACCGTCAGGGCGTGCAGCCTCGCCAGCGCTTTCAGCGCGAACTCCGTGTGCTCTTTGTCCAGCCCGTGTATCCTGTCCGCGGTGTCGTAGCCGTTGTACTTCAGGTTCTCCAAAATGATGACCGCCTGCTCGTCGAACTCGTTCGGGTTCCGCAGGCCCAGTCTTCCGCCGAAGTACTTTGGGGCCACGATGCACAGGTCCTTCTCGTCTATTCCGTTCTCCAGCTGTAGCTTCTCGAACTCTTGCGTCAGCGCGCCGTAGAACTCCAATTCCTTTTGGAACGTGACAGGGCTGTCGAACAGCTCCAACAAGTACTCCGACGTGGGCGGTAGTTTGGCCACGAGGTTCAAGGTTTCTGTATCGTTCGACCGCGTCACTGTCACGTTCAGCGCCAGAATAATGCTGCCGAAGTTCTCCCCAGGGGCTGTCAGCGGCTTCCATTCCAGATTCTTTATCAGGAAATTCGAACCCAGACTCTGGGTCAGCAGCTCCTCCAGGTTCTGGATCGGCGACGATTCGATGGACGGAGACATGTTGGTTCACCTGAAATTAAGCCTGCGATCAGGATCTCGGCGCTTGTCACCTTCGCGTTTGGTTAAATTCGATTTTATTTGATTTTGTTCGATTTTATTCGGTTTCTTTTTTATTTTATTCAATTCCATTCGATTTTATCCGATTTTATTCAATTTTATTTGATTTTATTCGATTTTATTCAATTTTATTTGATTTTATTAAATTTTATTCGATTTTATTCAATTTGATTCAACTTTATTCAATTTGATTCAACTCTATTCAATTTGATTCATGTTTATTCAATTTTACTCAACTTTATTCAATTTTACTCAACTTTATTCAATTCTACTCAACTTTATTCAATTTTATTCAACTTTATTCAATTTTATTCAACTTTATTCAATTCTACTCAACTTTATTCAATTTTACTCAACTTTATTCGATTCTACTCAACTTTATTCGATTCTACTCAACTTTATTCAATTTGATTCAAGTTTATTCAATTTTATTCAATTTTATTCATTTCTATTTAATTTATCTATTGAATTTATCTGTCTTTGATTCATCTGTATTCAATTTATTTGCATTCAATTCACCTGTATCTAATTTAACCGATTAATTAGGTTTGTCAGCGTCGCTAGAATCGTCGGTATCGTTATTTAATTAAAAATAATCGGATTAAAAATAATCCACTGACATTTTTCACCGGCTATATCAACTTATCGTACGATGGACGGAGTCATGTTGGTTCACTTGAAATTAAGCCTGCGATCAGGATCTCGGTGCTTGCCACCTTCGCGTTTGGTTCTATTCTGAATTTAGCTGAAAAGTGTGTCTTCATACGCGTCGATTCAATATTTGTGCGAAATAGGCAAAGAGCGTTGAAACTGGTTCTTTCGGTAATCGACGTTGAAAGCGTCAACTTCGTTTATTTATTTTCTCGTCAGACGAGGGAGGAATCATTTAGCTTGTTAGTTTTTCTGGGACAGTTGTCGAAGACCGCAGGGCACCCACATTTTTTTTTAAACCTTCTCGTTTCCCATCGTTCGTTCATGCCATTTTTATGCCTGTCTTTTTGCAGGTCGACAACAACAATGTTTATTATGATATATTCCTTCGTTAGAGGAGCAATAGCCACATCACCGGTTTATGTAACTTCTCATCAAGGAAAATCATCTTATCGTTACTAAGCAAATTAGGCGGAGATTATGCATTTACCTCTTAGAGTGCTAGGAGATGAATCGAGTTACGAGATAGGGGATTCTGTTTTCTCTGCCTCCGCGGACGCTTCGGGGTCTCGTCCGACCCGGACTATTTTACACCGAGGTGCCCGTACTCTTTTCAAATTCCGCAGAATCGCGCGAAACGTATTAAGCGACGCGTACTAAAATTTCCTTAAACGTTAAACATCTACTGATTGAAAACTATGTTTTAGAAATGACCGCCAGGGTTTCATCCAAATATTTAGATGATCCAGGAAAGAGAACAGTTTCGTCGTCGTCGTCGTTGATCATAATAGCTGAATGGAGTCATCGACAATTCAATTACGATCTCGCACGTGTTAACAGCGAAATAGAAAAAGAAACGTTCACACACGTCTGTCGGAGCTGCGGAGGACTAAATATCGGCCACGCTGTATTCGCACATTTGGAATCCAGTTCTCGAATCCGGCGACTGTTTACCGTCTCGCGGAACAACCATAAGGCGAACAAGTTGCAATTTATAAATAACGCTACGCGACGTTAGTCATCCGCTTTGTTGATTGTTACCGGTACGTTGCGTCCAGGCATTGCATAATTGTCGATCGTCGTCGAGTATCATTGCCCGTCGAGATTGTCTCTCATTGATATTTTATCTACTCTCCGAGCCTCGCCGCGCCGAGATTCGTTTTATCCTATATCGCCGTCAACCTCGTGCGTCTAATGACAGCATTTAAGCGCCGCCGTTGATGTCCGGCGATGATCGTCGGGAAATGATTTTCAAGAACTGTTCGGTCCGCTACTTACTCTAATTGCGGCGACGGAATTCCGCCGAGACTCGATTCGAATCCTCTTCGTCGGCTTTTGTCGTCGACGGAAACACCAGACCCGGGCACGATGTATGTATACGCGATGCTTGACCGGCGAGCACGGAACGCGATATTGTCAGCGCGAAGCCAGACCGCCAACTGACGATAACATTTATCAGCAATACTATTTATTTCCTTGTTTGTGCCCGACCATTTACTGATTAGAACCCTATCGACGCATCGTATTTGACTAAGTGGTTTTATCTGCCATCGAACGTTGCACGATCTCGCCGATTACGTAGCGGATCTATGACAAGCTACTTCAGCCGTCTCATCTTGTTATTATCATTTATTAATTCTTGCCTATTTAGGCTGAGGATGACTTTCAGTATACATATGCATATCTTTAGTTTTCCATTGCACGGTGAACTACAATTGCATATATTTTCTTGCACCAATCTGTTATTTAATATTATTTAATCTGATTTTATAGTCTAATGATCCAGCAATATTGGCGACCTCATTTTATTATTATTATTTATTTAGTTCTTGTCTATTTAGGCTTAGGATGACTGTTAGTATATATCTTTAGTTTTCTATTATATATACATATATATATATATATATATATATATATATATATGGTGAACTACAAAAAATTGCATATATTTTCTGGCACCAATCTATTGTTTAATGTTCTTATTTAATCTGATTTAATAGTCTAATGATCCAGCAACATTGGTGCCCTCATTTTATTATTATTATTTATTTAGTCCTTGCCTATTTAGGCTTAGGATGACTTTTAGTATATATCTTTAGTTTTCTATTGCACGGTGAACTACAATTGCATATATTTTCTTGCACCAATCTATTATTTAATATTATTTAATCTGATTTAGTAGTCTAATGGTCCAGCAACATTGGTGACCTCATTTTATTATTATTATTTATTTAGTTCTTGCCTATTTAGGCTTAGGATGACTTCCAGTTTACATCTTCATCTTTTCACTTTGTACAGTGAACTATAATTACAGTATTTTCTTACCCTATTTTATTATTTACAGTAAAATCTAATAGTCCAATAATCTTATTTAATTTAATTTAATAGTCTAACGATCCAACAACAAAGCAAAACACAAATGAAAAGAAAACTCACATTGGCGATCTCGTCTTTGAAACCTTCAAATCTTTGTTGGGGATTCATGTGGCTAATTGGTCGCCAAGGCGATTTTATCTGTTGACCAGCTGATCCAATATTGGGTCATCGGTCGTGTCGCTTTTCACGCTAACTTTAAGAGCAGGGTAATGGATACGTTTACTTTGCACCACACAGATTCAGTTGCTCGCGTTAAAGTCGCCAGGTGGAAACATTCTTTACAGCTTGATGCATATTTTACCTAGACTTATTCTGTTCGATTGAAAAAGTACACTAATTACAAGCAAAAAAGGTGTACATTTCATCTGAATTCTTCCTCTTGTAAGCATGTTGCATAAAAACATGTTTCTAGGAAATATTGTTTGGTACGAAGGAAAGCTCTTTTCTCTTCTCCTTTTTTCGTCGAAATATGGAGGCTACCCTTGAGTTTCTTAACCATAACGCACAATATATCTCAATAATAATGTTATCACAAAATATTGCCACTTCTCTATGACGAGTATACTCGTCATGACACAAAATACTGCTAGTTCTTCGTGACGAGTATACTCGTCCTGACACAAAGTTCTGCTATTTCTCCATAACGAGTATATTCGTCATGACACAAAAAATACTGCCATTTCTCCATGACGAGTATACTCGTCCTGACAAAAAATACTGCTATGTCTTCGTGACGAGTATATTCGTCACGACACAAAAAATATTACCACTTCTCCATGACGAGTATATTCATCGTAACACAAAATATACTGCCACTTCTCCCCGACGAGTATATTCGTCATAACACAATAAATACTGCCCCATCCCCCATAACGAGTATACTCGTCGTAACAAAAAATACTGCCACTTCTCCATGACGAGTATACTCGTCATGACACAGCTGATTAAAAAAACATTTGATAAAATTCCGGAGCATATAGAAAAATGACGATCGTTCTGTCAATGTCTGCGACGTTGAAATCAAACGAACACGAGCGAAATAAATAAAGGCTGTTTCAGGGGAATAAAATACGAAGAAATTTGACGCTTCTCTGCACGCTCGCGGCAGATCCAAAAAGCAGTTCGCCGATGTTCGAGCCGCTGTCTTTTCAGCTTCCGAGAAATCCGATCGGCCAATTAAACGCCGATGAATTATACGATCGATAGCACGTACGCGTCGTCTCACGGGCGTTAATGCGAACCAGTATTAATAGTTCAACTTTTGCGATCGTACAGATAAAGGTAGGGGCGTCGCTGGCGCGAGATACGCGGCGAGCATGTCGGTAATTTTGAAAAGACTTGCATCATCGAATTACCATGAGAATACAGACGCGCTGTTCTCGATAGTGTTGTCCGTGTTTCGTGCCGCATTAAGTGGATTGTGCAACGACGAAAACAAGCAGATGCGTCGTCGTCGTCGTTGTCGCGAGACAACGCCGCTTACGGATGCTTAAATAATTCACGGCCAATTGAAAATCGCCTAGTCACGAAAAAATATTGGCCGAGCACGTGCCGGCAGGCTTCCAGCTTACTGAATTTCCTCGGCGAGGCCGTCGGGAGACCTTCGGCAAATTTTTGCCACGCCGTCCCTCGCGCCCCGCGTTCTCTGCACCTTCTTTCAGGACACCCTCCAACCGGCGCGGAAAATTCTCCGCGCGGTTTTTCTTTCCGCGGCACACGCACACGATGGACGCGAGACATTTAAGAATCGGTCCCGCACGTGACGGATCGCGATCTTCCGGGAAACTGCGTGTGAATGATCACGGTGAATACAAATAGGTTCGGGGAAACCTTTTTGCATGAGCGGATTTGCATACACACGCGTCTAGGTGTAGCTCGCGAGACGCTCTCTATACTTTAGAGGATCAACGCAGGGAATAGATGAGGAACTCTAATTGGAACGCGCAGTGCTTTGTGGACATGCTCGGGGACAGATGTGAATCTGGGGTATGAGTTGATTTGTAAATGTATGTGTCAGAATATTTTTGGAAGAATTTATGAAGGAATAAATGCATATTTAAGGGTAGGAAGAGTATTTATGAGGAAGAAGATGAATGTGTGAGAGTATGAAGCATTTGTGATGAAATAAATATACAAGAATATGATGTATTTATGGAGGAATAAAAAATGAATATTTGAGGGTAGAAAGTATTTATGGAGAAGAAGATAAATATACGAGTATATAAAGTATTTGTGATGAAATAAATAAATATACAAGAAAATATATGATGTATTTATGAAGGATAAAATGAATATACAAGAATAGGAAGCATTTATGAAGAAAAAGATAAATATATGGGAGTATAAAGGATTTGTGATGAAATAAATAAATATACAAGAATATATGATATATTTATGAAGGAATAAATGAACATATAAGAATAGAAAATATTTATGAAGAAAAAAATAAATATATAAGAATAGAAAGTACACATTTATAAAGAAAAAATAAATACATAAGAATATAAAGTATTTACCGATAAATAAATGAACATATAAGAACACAAAATATTCACAAATAAATAAATAAATATACAAGAACGGGAAATATTGACGAAGGAATAAATCAAGAAGAATATTAAAAATGAACACAGGAATATGAAGCATTCATATATAAATAAAGAATATTAAACGAATTTCATTCGTTTGAATGAAAGAAAAATAGTACAGCAACTTCTATGTGCCGCGTCAGAGTCGCCAGTCGAGTGCAAAGGGTTAGCATAACTTAATCCAGCGTAAATAGTTGGTGTATATCACGCAGTTTATTTATTCAGTCTCGACTGTCACGAGTCGCTATGAATTACAGCGTGCGTTTTACACGGTGCAACGGCTCGTCGACTTTACTATCAATTACTTCGCCGCGATCTGATCGCCGCGTTCGGATCGGATACGTGGAAACATTTGACGCGTGTTGCGCGCATGTATGCATGCATGTAACATGTACGCGTTTATTTAGATAGCATCGTGTTATTACCGGAACTATTCCGCGGAATCGATTTTATTGTATCACGTGGATACGAATAATGCGTAAGACGTAGCGCGTAAGCATCGCCTCGAGCTTTTATTCTTATAAAAAATCTTCATCCTTTCGACGAAGGAGTTCGATATCACGAATCCGGTAATCGGAAACGTCGCTGCTTTCATTTGAATGAGAACGTGTTCGCTGATGTCATAGAAATTAGCAAAGCAAACATTTCGAACGTGAATCGCCAATTTGATTAATGATCTTCGCGTGCCGTGGTCGCGTCGACTGTCGAATCGGCGATATCGTTGGACATTCGTCGATAGCGTAAAAATTAGAAGAATGATCGGACGTCGGGGGTCCGTTCGGACCCAGAGATATATTGCTATTCGACTGGTCTAGCCGCTGACAATTGGAGTTTTCATTTTCACTTCGACGATTTTCACTGCAATTTCACTTCCACCCTCGCTTCGAGCTTCGCTTCGCCGTGTTGTCATTTCTCTGATCGCTCTCGTTGCAGTTACATTGCACTCGAGGCTCGAGTGACACTAAAATGGTGCGGCGCGGCCTTGTGCCAACAGAAGAAGATTCTACAAACCTCGTTGCTACCGCCGAGACCTCCGATGTGTTTATCTCTCCGAGAGAACTCGTCTCCTCGATAACGTTCTTTCTATCGGTCCGCGCAATAGCAAACACTTGTTATACGTGTATTAATAACTTCCACTTTTCTACGATAAATAATTCCTGTCTCATCCGTATATCTCTGTGCGAGCACGCGCGCGCGCATGAAATGCACTTATCTTATCCGCGGTCCGACTGCGAAGGTCTGCCGTTCGTTTAAAACGTCGCCGGGAAAAATTATGATAACGCGCGTATAACCGCGAACGAAACGGTCGCAGTTCGGCGAGTCCGTAAAATTTCAAAGGTTGACACTGCACGGGGAAAATTCTCCCACGCGTAACACCGGCGATTAAGGTGTCGCGTTCATTGTTTCCCCGGGCAGACACGATTCCAGATCCGATCTTAATTGCGATGACGAACGCGATACCGAATGCGCGGCTGCGATTCGCGATCGTTTCGCTTGGAAAGGTCGGAAAGGTGAAGCGAAAACGCTGCGACGATAATTCGCGATTGAAAGGATTAATGGTTGTCGACGATCCGCCTGCGATCTAGCGATTATTCAATTTTATCCAATTTTATTTGATTTTGTTCGATTTTATTAGATTTTATTCAATTTTATCCAATTTTATTTGATTTTATTCAATTTTATTCGATTTTATCCAATTTTATTCAATTTTATTCAATTTGATTCAACTTTATTCGATTTTACTCAACTTTATTCA